AGCAGGTCAGGGAAAGACGGAGAGCTATTAAGAGGCACAAAAGCAGCCCAGTTTGGTTTACAACAAGAAAGAGGCTGTCCATTGTATGTGAAATTTAGGATCATGGGGAACTCTTGTCTCCCCAAAGCATTTTATCTACCTCAGGGAAACATTTAAATCCATTATTAGATCCATCGTGAACTCCATCCAGCTGCAGCCACAGGCCATGTTATGCATGTGCTCCTGTGCGGTAACGTCAACCACACACATATGTTCTAACTCGAAGGAACAGACTTTCTGTCTTAAGACATTTTTGTCCTTATGCTTGCTCTGAGGAGAGGAGGATGCCTTAGGAATGAAAAGAGTGTCAAATTACAGGCCCCCAAACTGGTGGAGGTACAGAGTCCTCTAACATATGAACAAAATAAAGAATAAAAACAAAAAAAAACCAAGCAGCAGCTAGCTCCTTAAAGCTTTTAACGTGTGGGTTATAACTAAGTTCTGAAAGCTTCCCCAATTATATCGCTGTTTATGAACTTGGGAACTGATTTTTTTACTTATCCTCCTTTCTCCCTAAGTCAAATCTCTGAAGGCTAAAAATGTAACATATGCCTTCAAGTGGGAAAAGGGACGTGGGGAGAGGCCACCGGACACACGACGGCCAGGTTGAATGACAGTGCTTGTTAAAAAATGGGCCCTTTCCATAGTTAGGCCTCCAAAGAGCTTCCTTTAAGTTACAGAGAAAACTCCTTTATAAAACATTTAAATATCACACATTATATCAAAGCCAACTACAAAACACACCACCTCAAAATCCTAAAATAGATGTAGGTACTGTGCAGTAGCAAAATCAAGTAGGGAGGGAATAACGTCCAGTTACAGACTCCAGAAATAAAAGGAAACTGGAAAATAATCCTATTTAATCCTTCACAGAGAACACTACTCGGTTTCCCATAGGATGCCTGTTAAATTGATACAGAAGTAGATCCATTCATACTGTGGACCCAAGCTCTCTAGTTACAAATTATATTTATTGAGCACTGCCTACATTGTGCTGATTCTTGTGTACATTATCTCAGTGAAGCTGCATAAAATCCCAGAGTGGGTACTACAGTTATTCCCATTTTACCAAAAAAAAAAAAAGGGAAAGTGAGGCTTAGAGAAGTAAAACAACTTGCCCAGGATAAGAGCACGGATAGCAAGGACTTGAACCCGATTCTAGAGTTGAAAATTGCGGCCACTGCACTGCGGAGCCCTCCGGAACGTCTGCACGCTCAGACCAGGTGGCTCATGACCTGGAGAATCCGCTGCTGGGCCAACAAAGACCACGTGAGACTGAGGTGTGAAGCAGCACGGCCCAGCCCCATCTCTGGGAAATAAACTTAACACGTGCCATTCTCATGGGACATCTGAGAGCTACTGATAGGTTGTCACACCAACCCCTTCCAAAAGGGAAGATGACAAGAAACAAACCGTGAAAGGTTTACACACTTACATCTGCTATTTTTGCCTTTCTTGGAGGCTTGTTTATAATATTTTATAATGCAGGCTAAGTTGTGAATTTTAATTACCCATTGATATATATTTAATTATATACACTTCAACGTATTTTAAAACGTTCTTCAGTTCAGACTCCTGTCCGGTTAGCCGAGCCAATCTCTGGGCCCTCCAAGTCATCCTATGCAAGGGCACAGTCACCGGTAAATCCACTTAAAAAGCAGAGACCCAGGCCCCACTCCCAACTCTCTGAATCAAAAATTCTGGGAGGGTGATGAGCACATCTGTGATTTTATAAAATCCTACGGGTGAGTCAGATGTGTGGCAGAGTTGAAAACTCGTTTTAAATTGATGAGCACTGATTTAACAGTTTGGTAAGATCACCTAGGGTTCACCAAACACACCGTTTCTTTTCCCTAGATCTTGCTTACGGATTTGCTGGGCAATTAATGGAGCAGCGCCTGAAGTCAACTACTTCACCCAGCTCAGGATGCCGTGTGTCATGTCACCTCTTCAACAGACGGGGGCTTGCGATGTACGTGAAGACTTTCTCCTTAGGGTCACTATTTCACTGTATCGTGCTTTAGACCTTTAAAAACATAAATAATCCTTTGACACCATCAGGAGTCATCTTAGTGTCCAGGGAGTTGACAAGCCCCATCCTCACCCAGCCTATTGCATTCCTATGCAACAGTGAGTCAAGGGGGACTCACAAACTCACCACCCTGGGCTCTATTTTAACCAATTCAACACTCTCCTGGCAAAGCTGCTCCTTCTTGACAGACCTCCCTGGGCCCCAGCCCTAGGCCCAGCTGCTCGGCTGGTGGCAATGGCCCTGTCTGAGGAAGAACCGCCACACATCCAGGGCCTGCCCCTCTATCTTACCTTTGGCTCAGAATCCTCCCCCTTTGACTGCAGCTTCAGCTAAAGACCTGAGGCAACTATAGTGATTAATGAGGAAATATTGGGAGTAAAATTTACAAGAATAAAATAAAATTTTACAGAAGTATCTTAAATAAACTGTGGTCTTTAAAACAGACAAATGAATATAATTCCTACATGGCCTTTCTACATGTTGCAACCTGAAAAGTCCTCAAGTATCTTTCTAGATCTGAGAGCACACGGTTGACCACACCCGAGCCTGCAACACCCAAGGGCACCACCTTCACCCGGAACGGGTGTGCGCTCACTTACGGCCCACCTCCTCCATCCTTCACCAGGAGCTTTGTCACCCATTTTTCCTGCCACACATTTAAACTGCGTTTTACCAGCCAACAAGATTCCTACCGCAGTACCTCTGTTCCTTCAGAACCCAGCTGAGACTGGACACTGACATCCAGTTAAGGCACAAGGAAGCGAACTGGAGATCCATCTTCCCTCCTCGCTGCTCTGAAGCAGCGTCCCCAAGTCCTGCTGCAGGTGGCAGGGAATTCATGACATGCCAAGCCTGAAACTTAAGTCATTCCCACCGCTCTCTTTAATAAAAGGTCATACCCTCAAGGTGTGAAATTATGTAAAAAAACAAAAACCCTGTGTTTTGGGCTTCCCTGGTGGCGCAGTGGTTGAGAGTCCGCCTGCCGACGCAGGGGACACGGGTTCATGCCCCAGTCCGGGAAGATCTCACATGCCGCGGAGCGGGTGGGCCCGTGAGCCACGGCCTCTGAGCCTGCACATCCGGAGCCTGTGCTCCGCAACGGGAGAGGCCACAACACTGAGAGGCCCGCGTACCGCAAAAAAAAAATAAACCCCGTGTTTTCATGTAAAGAAGCTGATACTGAAACCTGCGGGGCTCTACCTAGTTGCCTGGTACACATTTAAATCATTGTTTTAGTTGGAGAAATACTTTCGTCTTTGAAGATCTAAGGTAAGAAAACTGATGACAAATACCTCGGGCCCTCTCTGTGTTAAGGTGAATGGTATCCCCAAAAATTACGATGCAAGAACACCTTAGCTCTTTTATCATGTTTTCCTGTGAGCAGCTGAAACCAGGGACCTTGGCTGTACATAATGCCAAAGAGAAAGAAAAACGCACAAACCGACAAGACCACTTACCATCTTAAATGAGTCTTCCACAAAAAAATAACGAGAGCTTTAAACACAGGGATATGTAGGAATTAATACTAGAGTGTGAAAGCCCAGGTGATACCCACAAGATGGTTCTTAGGGGACGGGGAGACAGGTTACTGCTATGCATTATGAGGGATGATGAAGAATACGATAAGCTATGTTCTTAGGGTTTTCTTCTTCTTTGTACTAAAAATTACTTGATGTATGTTTTCACCCTAGGAAACAAGTCTAGGGAAGGAGATCCATGGTTAAGAAAATGAGACCTTCTACTCTGCACTTCCTGACACCAAAGGCTTCCCAATGTCGAGCAATCCCAATGATTCTAAGAAATCTGAATAGACTCAGTATACCGATCGGTTTTTCTCCTAACCCTAATCTTAAAATTTCAAACTTTTTTTTCATATATGGCACTAAGACCAAGTTCTGTATCTGGAATGAACCGTCTGATCTGTTAGCTTTGGTCACCACTACAAAAATGGATATAAAAATGAGTACTTAACTTGTATTCTGAGAGCTAACAGAGTAAAGGCAGGCCAAAAGGAAACTGGGGAACTAATCTAGAAGAAATTTAGCATTTACTATCTCATCATTGTATTGCCTTATTATAAGACTTATTACAACAATAAGTTTAACAACATAGGAGCTGGGAAAGACAATACAGTAGCAAACAGAGTAGTCATCTTGTGGGCCTTATATAATTATTGTAGCCTTAATGATTTTTCACATGTATCAACAGTTCTAATATTCATTAAATAAAAATAAGCCTAAGTTTTTTGGATACTGATTCTGATATACAAAATGTGCCACTTACCTATAAAATGCTCATTACCCTAAGAAAAACACTAAAGGAAGTTTCTTTCATACATGTGGTAAGTGCACTTTATGTAGACAATCTGAATTTTACAAAATCACATTTAAATTTACAGTAAGTTTTTTGCCTTCTGAAAGACACCTTAATGTATACTTATGCAGGCTAACTTATAAAAAACAGGAGACTTCAGGTTAGGATTAATTCACTGTGGCAGGAATTCTAGACTTTCTTGTATAAAGTCCCTGATAGGCCCCCATCAAGGATCTGGGGAAAGAAGAACGATATTATTTGTATTTCCTCTTGCTTCCAAGCAGGTCAAATCCTAGAGAAAATCATCTAACTCTCACATCCATCCTAAACATTACGGCCTATGAGCACTTTGAATCAAAGAGAAACTGTGAATATCAAGTAAAGAAACAATTTTAAAAAATCAAAATGGTCTGTTAAACCTCCAATGTTTACTTTCCAAGATTTTTGAAGCCTACGTTGATGTAACTACTGTTTTCCTTTCTACACGTCTGACTAAACTTATAGTCAGTATACCTACCAGACCATTCATTACCTGGACCAGGTTAATTGCATAGAAAGATTTCGACTATGTTTACATTTTTCTTAAATTAATTTTAAAAAAGCATAGTAAAGAGTCTGAGGACAAATTATTCAACTGTTTATCATACATAAGACCGCATGACTATAATACAAAGGGGAGTTCTTTTTCATTTAACGTTACAATATACACAGCAAGTCCGGACCAGATCTTACAATCTGCACACAGGTATTTAACCTTTTCCATGCTGTTTATGTTTACAATGCACAGAAGTCCTGTAACCAAACCGTGTAGTAAAGCACACAAAACTGGACTGTAACATAACACAGTATGCAGAAGCATTGGATTTTATGACTTCCTTTATGTAAATAGCGGTTTAAAAACTGCTTTCGTTTTTTGGTGCTTGCTAAGATGTGGCAACCAGCACAGAAAATGACCTGACCCATGTATCTTCACCTTATATTCCTAAACAGCAGTAACTACTGAATTCCTTTTGACATTGCTAGACTCAAGATGATGTCCTTTTATTCACTGTAAACTTTATGAACTACCGAGTTCAAAAATCCATCCACAGGCTTGACATTTAATTACAAAATAAATACGGATTTCCTGATTAACAAAAAAAATTTTTGTGGTTTATAAAAACTGATATTCCCAAGTTTCCATTCACACAGTTTTAAGCCTTTTTTCTTTTGTCACTGATTACATATAAAAACCTGCTCTTGTTCAGAAAAAATTGATCTAGTCAGCCACATGGAATTGACCAATAAAAAGTAATGTGGTGTTTCTGCTGAGTTGTTTTGAACAGGGTTATCGGCAGAGGTAGATTACTGCTTCTTTTCTAGGCTTCTTTGATCCTGGACAGGTAAATTCCTTAATCTTCATTCTCCCAACTCAACCGCTCAAAAGTTTAACACCATAAAATTGGTCAATTTAAAATGGGAACACAAATTTAGCAACTGCCAGACTGTGTTACATTAAGGCAGCACAATCTCAAAACTAGGCACCTGTTAAACACCAGCCTGTTCCCTTCCGGGTCATGCATGCAAGTTTTGCTTTACTCGTGCTCATAGTTTGGACCTGTTGGTGCAATCAAGGTCTTGCTTTCAAGTTTACAAGTAGGTTAATCAGGAATACAAGAATCAACTGCTGGTTCCACAGCTTCTGGATCCAGTGTCCCTTTACCTTCAGAAGCCTGAACACATTTAGGATGTAACAGCTGTTGTAATCTTGAGTTAGATGTCAATCTATTAAGTTCAGTACACAGACTGCTGTAAATGTATTGGCTATGGATTCAACAACAGTTCCAGTTTTGTTTAAGCAATAGTACAGCCATAATTTTCAACTGACATTTAAAAATGGTCTAGTTACACCTTGTGTCAAAGTGCAGAACTGCTACATTATTGGTTACAGACATCTATGTGCTATAAAAACAGCTTTGGTACAATAAATTATCAAAAAAGAAAATAAATTTTTGTAAAATTCACAGCATAATTGTGAGGCAAAAAAGCAGTCACATAAAATTCTGCATTTTTTTAAAAATGTTCAGGATGAACAGAAGACATCTTTGTGCAGAAGAAATGGTGGAGATACCACGTGCCGAGAAAAAGCAAAAGAAAAAGTAAAAAGCAGGAAGGGACACAGCTGTAGCTATTTCCATCAAAGCAAACCACTACTTCTGTGACCTTCAACCAATAAGGAAGTCAACTTTATGACACACGCAAAGTGACCTTGCAATACCTTACAATTAGTGGGTCACAAAAGTCTATTTTAAAAGAAAGGCCTCTTGAATTACCCATTCTCTGTGTTTTCAGCATTAAGGACTGTCTGCAAAAGCATGTCCAAAAGTGATTGCATCTGAAATGGTAGGCTCTTCTAACTTCGAGTCCAAATCCATAAGGCCAAAGGTTATCCCAAAGACCACCACTCAGACCTCCCCAGGACTGGCCACAACTGACCCGTTGATTGCTTCTCAGTGCACCTTGGTTAGGAGACCAGTCACGTTCCATTACTATCTCACTGTGGCCTCAACAACGGGAGACCCACAGGATCCCAGGCAATTGCTGCTTTGCTCCTCAGTAGGTTCAGACAGGAGAGTTCTGATCCCGCCACTTAGCATGCTTACTGTGCCTTACAAACTCCAATACAACCGTCCCTTCCATACAGCTGAAGGTGATGTTTGTGTGAGCTGGAGGTCCCTCTTCCTTACAGTACTGCATTTCCGTGCCCAAGTGTGTTTAGAGGACTTAAAACCCCAAATATCCCACCCCCCACCCAAAACAAAATGAAAACAAAACAAAAACGGGAAGGAAAAAAGGAAAAACAAAAATGGAAGGAAAAACACCCTCATGGGGCCCTTTAAAATGCAAATTATGTGCAGTGCCTTTTATTTTAAAATTAGTTGGCAAATGATTAAGACCAACATCTGAACAACAACTTCTGTGGAATAGAAAGACAAAAACCCCACTATGACTGGGATGTGGCGAGTTAAAATGGGGGAGGCAAAAAGAGGACACCTCTGAGCTATCCGTGAAGATGGGTTTGGACATGGCTCTTTTAAAAACTTCATTGTCCCTTTGCAATCTTTTCAAGTTAAAAAAAAAAAAAAAGTCAGCTTTGCCCTCTTGTAGCGGTTCAGTGTGTTAATCTCCTTCTGATTCAAGCAGCTTTGCACTTTGTTTTTTGGAAAAAAACACCACTTCTATAAAAACACACAAGAAACAAACTCAAGTTTCAATTTAGTCACGAGCTAGCTACAGGACTCTGTTGCACACAAACTCCTGTCATGGGGGACTCTTCTCTATCAGCCCCTTGCCTCATTGTCAGATGTCCTTCAGTCATGTAATGTGCAGGACCTGTATTAGCAGAAAATTGGTATGTTGGATGTCCAGCTATGCCAGTCTCTTGGCGGGGATTGGAGTAGACGGTTAAATTAACGTCCATAGCTCCATTCTGTCCAAAGTCCAAGGTATTAGCAGCCACTGGGCGATTCTGGTAGGCTTGATTGCCTTGATTACCAGTAGAGGAGGAAGATGTAGAGGAAGAAGTAGTTGAGGAAGACAGGGATGTCATGGAGTGGTGACTATGGCCAACCTCCATAGAATCCTGGGTAGAGGAGCTATTTGTTGGAGAATTGTAGACCCTTGGCCTGGTCCGGTTGCCCAAGGCTTGTTGTCCATGGTGGTGGTGGTGATGGTGGTGGTGGTGATGGTGATGGGAACTGTTTCCATGGTGATGATGCAATGCATTCTGTTGAGGGGCTACATGAAAGGTCGTTTCTTGAACAGGATGAGTTTCAACAGTGACTTGTGTAGGAGCTTCAGTGCCTGACCAACCAATGGGAGCAGGAAATTGCTGACGCACCTGTAAGAACAGATTTTAAAACGATTAAGAGTACCATTTCCAAGCTTTAATCTTCGATAAAAAGCTACAACACTAGCATTTACATTAGTTAGAGAGAGGGTTTTGAAACTTTAATGTGTTAGACAGTTCTATAACACAAACTTCCAAATGTGTTCAAGAGTGAAAAATATTTTATTATGAAAGCTTCAATTTTTAGCAAGTTACACCCATACTCATATATTTTACTCGCCACTTTCTTTCCTTGGGAGCACTGTTTATGCCAGGGGTCAGCAAACTTCTTCTGGAAAGGGCCAGATAGCAAATATTTCTGACAGGTCCAAAAGGCATTCTTTACTTTCCCACTAAAGCTCCTCCTCTCTCCAATCTTCTGTTTTAATAGAACCACTAGTACCCATCTAGCTGCTCAACCATTCCTCCATCCAAACAATCAGCAAGTACTACTAAAGCTGCCTCCAAAATAGAACCCAAATCTGGCCTCTTTTCTCCATCTCCACCACGACTACTCTATCCTAGATCACTATCATCTCTTGCCTAGACTAATATAACAGCCTCCTAAATCAACTCCCATCTTCCATCTTTGCCTTTTTCCAAACCATTCTCCAAAGAGTAGCAAGAACAGTCTTTTTAAAACACAAATCCAAATTAGGCAAGAAAAAGAAAAGTCATCCACATTGGAAATAAAGAAGTAAAATGGTCACTACCTGCAGATGACGTAACATTACATTATATGGAAAACCCTAAAGACTCCGTTAGAAAACTGTTAGAACTAATAAATGAACTCAATAGGGTTGCAGGATATAAAATCAATACACAAAAATCGACTGCATTTCTATACACTAATAATGAAACAGAAAAAGAAAACAATCCCATGTACAACTGTATCAAAAAGAATAAAATATCAAGAAATAACTTTAACCAAGGAAGTAAAAGACCTGTAGAAGAAGAAGGTCTGGAAGAAGAAGACACAAATAAATGGAAAGATAGTCCATGCTCACAGACTGGAAGAGGGTAAGAATCAATGTTGTTAAAATGTCCCAACTACCCAAAGCAATCTACAGATTCAATGCAATCCCCCACAAAATTCCAACGTCATTTTTCAAAAAAAAAAAAAGAATAATCCTAAAATTTGTAATCCACAAAGAAACCCAAATAGCAAAAGCAATCTTGAGAAAGAAGAACAAAGATGGAGGCATCATGCTCCCTGGTATCTAACTACACTACAAAGCTATAGCAATTAAAACAGTACGGTACTGACATAAAAAAAGGCACATAGATCAATGGAACGGAAGAGAGAGCCCAGAAATAAATCTACGCGTATATGGTCAATTAATTTATGACAAAGGAACGAAGAATATACAATGGAGAAAGGACAGACTCTTCAATAAATGGTGTTGGGAAAACTAGATAGCCACATACCAAAGAATGAAACTCAACCACACTATCTTACACCAAACACAAACTCAAAATGGATTAAAGACTTGAATGTAAGACCTGAAACCATACAACTCCTAGAAGAAAACACAGGCAGTAATAAGCTCCTTGACATAGGTCTTGGTGATAATTTTTTGAATCTGACACCAAAGCAAAAGCAACAAAAGCAAAAATAAATAAATGGGATGACAACATACTAAAAAGCTACTGCCCAGTAAAGGAAACCATCAACAAAATGAAAAGGCAACTTAATGGGAGAAAATATTTGTCAATTATATTATCTGATAACAGGCTAATATACAAAATATATAAAGAATTGATAAAACTCAACAGCAAAAATCCAAACAATCTGATTGAAAAATGGGCAGAAGATCTGACTAGACATGTTTCCAAAGAAGACAAAGAAGACATACAGATGGCCAATAGGTACAGGAAAAGAAGCTCAACATCATGAACCACCAGGGAAATTCAAATCAAAACCACAACGAGATATCACTTCACATCCATGAGAATGGCTATTATCAAAAAGACAACAAATAGCAAGTGTTGGTGAGGATGTGGAAAAAAGGGAACCCTCATGCACTGCTTGGTGGGAATATAAATTAGTGCAGCCACTATGGAAAACAGTATGGAGGAGGTTCTTCAAAAAATTAAAAACAGAACTACCATATGATCCTGCAATTCCACTTCTGGGTATTTATATGAAGAAAACAACAACAGTATCTTGAAAAGATATATGTACCCCCATGTTCATTCACTTCAGCATTATTTACAATAGCCAAAATATGGAAACAACCCAAGTAAGTGCCCACTGATGGATGAATAGATAAACAAAATAATCCAAAATCCATAAACAATCTGGCCAATGCTCATTTCTCCAACCTTTTCCTCTAGCCATCCTTCCTCTTGCTGCCTAAGTTCCTACTACACAGGATCTTCCTTCTATTCCTCTACCTAGTCAACATCTTTCAGAAGCCTCAGGGTGTTTGTACTTACTGTTCCCTTCTGCCTAGAATGCTCTGATTTCTAATTTCTGCTTGGATGATTCTTTCTCATCATTTCAGTTCCAGAGTCTTCCCTCACCACTCTGCCTAATGCTCCCCCAATTTCTGTGGCAGAGGTTCCAAATTGTCCTCAAAAAACATACTCTTCTTCCTGAGCATAAGGCTGCACTATGCTTACTCCCCAGCCTCCCCTGTACTTAGACATGGCCATATGACTGTTTTAGTCAATGGAATATGAATGAAGGTTCCTATGTTACAGCCAGATCTGGCCCACAAAATACATCCCAAGTCCTTCTGTCTGCCAGATGCAGCAGACAACTAGGCCCTTGGGGATGGGGCAGTCATAAGATGGTAGGAACCCAGGATGTGGGAGAGAGCCACGCCACTAACCTGAATACCCACTCTGGACTATTACATAAAAAAGAAACTTCACATTCTTTCAGCTACCATATTTTGGGGGGTCTACCTGTTATCAGTTCGGCCTATCTGAATTAATACCTCCCACCCAACAAATCACTACTCTCTATTACATTATCCTGTCTTATTTTCTTTTTAACAGTTAATAGTACTTGCAATTTCCATTCATTTGATTCGTTTTATTTATTTTCTGTGTCACGGTAAGCTCTAGGAAGGCAAAGCCTGTGTCTTTATCACCAGTGGCTAGCACAGATCATTAAGACCACTCAACAAAGGTGGTCTCAGAATCAAAATTCAAGAAAAACTATTGAAAATAATCCAGTAGAAAAATAGGCAGAAAGTTCTCAGAAAATATTAATGGTTCTTAAACTATGAAGCTACTTAAATTCATGGAAAGAAGAAATAAGTGAAATGTAACTATACTCTGTCCAATACCAGGTTTTTCAGTTCAGACTGATCCAAAGGTGATCACACTGACTGCTTCTCCAAACTCTGTTAGTGGGAGGCTAAACTGGTAAAACTATATGGAGAGCAATCTGGCAACAGCTATCAAAATGACAAACCACGTTACTCTTTGACCCAGCAATTTCACATCCAGGAACTCATATCACATATAAACTGCATATGTGTGGATGATTTATATGTAGGGCTATTTATTACAGCATTATCTGCAGTAGTAAAAAAGATTGGAAATAAGCTAAATGTCCATTAATAGGGAACTACTGCAATGACTTGGAATATCTAAACAATGGAATACTGTGTGACTGTTAAAAACACAACAAAAAGAATGAAAAAGCTCCCCTATATGATACAGAAAGAGCTCCATAATATATATTTTAAAATATATGTAGGGCTTCCCTGGTGGCACAGTGGTTGAGTCTGCCTGTCGATGCAGGGGACACGGGTTCGTGCCCCGGTCCGGGAAGATCCCACATGCCGCAGAGCGGCTGCGCCCGTGAGCCATGGCCTCTGAGCCTGCGCGTCCGGAGCCTGTGTTCCGCAACGGGAGAGGCCACAACAGTGAGAGGCCCACGTACAGCAAAAATAAATAAATAAATAAATAAATAAATAAAAATATATGTAAAACATGTTAAAATAAAAAAACAAGATGTGAAACAGTGTGCACGGTATGCTACCATTTGTGTACAAAGGTTAGGTGAAGGATATACATTTGTATCTGCTTGCATATGTATAAAACATCGCAGAAAGACTACATAAAACTAATAACATTAATTTAGAAACCGGGAGAAAGGGATGGAAGAAGGAAGGTCGTTCTAAAGAATTAGGGAAAGCCTCTGGCCGTGATATTTGAGACCTGAAGGATATATAGTAGTCACCAAAGCAAAGACAGAGGAAAAGCTTATTCCAGGCTGAGCACGGTCAATGTGAGAAATGTGAAAGGGAACATGGTATACAGTCTGAAAAATGAAAAAAAAAAAAAAATTCCAGGAAGACCAGAATGAATGAAGAGGAGGAAGGATGCCTGGGTAGGAGCCAGATGACAGAAATCACTGAATCCTGTGTAAGAAGTCGCATTTTTTTTTTTTAAGTACAAGAGAAAGCCAGAAACTGGTTGAAAGCAGGGGAAAGAGCTGGATCAGACTGCTCTACTGAACATTCACTAAGCTGCAAAGAAGAGAACAGAGGCGAACTGGTGAATGAAACTGGACGCTTGAAGTCCAGTTGCAATAATCTTTATAGCAAGATAAGCTAGAGATGATTGTACCAAGGGGGTGAAGTAGAGAGAACAGACACATATGTAGGATATTCAGAATCCATACTATTTACCATTGGATTCAAGGTGGGGGGTGAGGGAGAGAGGAGTCAAGAATGAACTCCCCAGGTGCCAGGTGTACAACCTGAGCAAATGGGTAAATTCAGGGCCACTTGTATTGATACAGATAAAAGGAGATGAGCTTTGGGGGAGGAGAAAATGATGACATCAGTTTATAGGATGCATCTGTAGTGTTATGCTGTAGGGACTTCCAAAACGGTATTTATAGTAAATGATTAGAAATAAAGGTGTGGGGCTCAGGAGTGAAGTCTAGATCAGAAATAAAGACATAAAGTGACCGACATCGAGATGGTAGCCGCAGTCATTGGTAAGAGCAGGTGAGGTCACCAGGAAGTGTTTAAGGTGAGAGACAGGACACAGACCACCCACGTTTACGTGGCCGAGGGGGAGCAGAGAATCCGAAAAGGAGACAGTGAAGGAAGGGGGTGGGGGCTGGGATGAGGGCCATCCTGTCCGGGAAGGCAGAGGAGAGTGCTACAAAAAGCATGGAGAGGGGCTTCCCTGGTGGCGCAGTGGTAGAGAGTCCGCCTGCCGATGCAGGGGACGCGGGTTCATGCCCCAGTCCGGGAGGATCCCACATGCCGCGGAGCAGCTGGGCCCGTGAGCCATGGACGCTGAGCCTGCGCGTCCGGAGCCTGTGCTCCGCAACGGGAGAGGCCACAACAGTGAGAGGCCTGCGTACCGCAAAAAAAAAATGCACGGAGAGGCCAGGGCTGTGTCAACGTGAGTGAGGACGAGAGAGAGACAAGTGACTGAGTGTCTGCCGGGCTCCTCAGTAATGACCACTGTGACTCCACAGGAACAGTTTCCTGAGTTGGGAAGCAGCCCAACTGGAGCAGCTGAAGACTTCTTAAAGGGTGAAGTAATAGTAGCAGAAATGTGGGGCAAGGAAGACAAGGGCCAGGGAAAGGTTTTGCTTCAGATGGGAGAGAGCTGGGGATGATCAGGTGCTGACGGGAAGAAGGCGAGCAGAGGACACAGGGGCCAGTGGCTGAGCAGGGCCAAGTCCTGTGCAGGTGGGAGGAGAGGGGCAGGGCCCGGGGTGGCTGACCCCAGGCAGGAGCTGCTGCCCCTGCTGACAAGGGGCGGGAGAAAGGGCACAAGCACACATGGCGGTGGGGCGAGGTGGCTGGTGACACGCAGTGAGGCGCTCCTTTCTGAGGACTGTTCCTTACACAGTGAGGAGTGAGGGAGAGCAGAGAAGGGGAGGCAAAGGTTTCTAGCAAGAGTAGGAGAGGGTGAAGCAATTATTAAAGAGAATGGGAGCACGATGAGATGACCTGAGAAACATGCAAGCTTGCCCAAGTAGATGCTGGTGACTACGAATTAACAGGGGTAACAATGCATCTACAGGTTTGCCTTTCTCCACCAGCACTCAGCTGCCCCAGTCCCAAGAATGGGCAGTGATATTCATCAACTTCCATTTTATTTCTCATTAGATAATATACTTGCCTCTCACTGTAAACATCATAATGCAGTACTCAGTATGAATTAACTTATTATTTTACAAAGAGTATTTAATAAACATTCTGACTACCGTCATCTGCTTCACCCCTTAAAAAAATTTACTTAATTAGATCCTCTTTAACAAAAAACGTTCAAAACAAAAAGTGGAGGTGAAAATCAAACCACAAACTGATTCAGAATCTAGGACTATCAGTGATAGCAGATCACAAGAGGCAGTAGAGTGCAGTAATTAAGATCACGCACCTCGGAAAGTTCCCTAAACCTTGAAGTCACAGTTCCCAAAGTAAAATGAAAATCCAAACAGGGCGAGGCTCAAAATGCTGCCGGAGTAAACAAGATAAACAAACACCTGGAGCAGCTGCTGGTATGCACTCAATAAATGGGAGCTATTTCTAAACACGGAGGGAAAACGTTGCAAGGATGTGTAAGTTAGAATTCCTTACAACCAAGGAAGCTATGAACCTTTTAGAGTAAATGACGTTATCATTCTAAAACCACTTGGCATCCAACACTGGTACGCCTGGGCACAGTGGAGGGCGTGAATGAAGGGCTGTGTGACCGCTCACCTGGGGACTGTGTGTCTCACAGTCCATGGCCTGGACAGCAGCTGTGAAGTGCCCGCCGCTGTGCCGATGCTGGTGCGTTGGGTCCGACCTGGCTCTCCCACTGTTGCTCGTCCCCGATGATCCGCCTGAAGCATCACAACACGGTACAGCTTGTGAGTGTAAAGTTAATTTTGTTCAAGTATATATCCTAAAACTATAACATTAAAACGGGAAGTGAGTCACCAAAAAAAAAGTCTGTATTAACCTGAACTAAAATATGACCAAGTTTGGTTAAGTCAGGGGAAAACTCAAGCATGTGAACCAAGTATTTCCATTTTAAAAACAATTTTAAAATTTGGCTAATAAGGAGTATTGTTTCCAAGCAGAATTTATTATACGCATAATTAAGTATTAGAGCTTTGGGGGAGGTGAATTTTTTTACTAGCCACAAAGAACAGGTTCGGGAAAAATAATTCCTCCCACCCATTAACAAACTTTAAAAAACTTTAAAATAACCCCCACTTTGTAAAGAAAAGAGGAAACATTTCAAAGCCTAATATAATATCAAAAGAACAGACCTGAGCTTGAAGATGTACTGGAGGTGGTGCCCGAAGACTGTGACTGCTCCATGGCAGGACTCGTGGATACACTATTACTTGTATTTGTACCTTCATCAGCTGTTTTCTTGAAAAAACTGTGCTGCAGGGCATAGTAAGGTTGAATTCGAGTTTTGGGGTCATAATCAAGCATCCTTAAAATGAGGTCTTTGAACTTCAAGTAGTCAGCTACTGTATGACCCGATTCCCCAGCACGACGCCCACCAGGTCCTCCTGTTTCTACTCCGAGAATATTATGAAGTTTGCGGGTTCCTGGTGGTTTATACTCCTAAAGAGAAAGAAGATAAAAAGGCTTTCTCTAAATCTGATGGAATATGTAAAAGCCTACATAATGTCAAATATGCTTACATGTATGATAATGTTGAGGCCTTTATTAAAAAGAACGCTTTATAGTTAGAGCCTCTATATTTTCACACATACTATTCCGAACACACTGTACTTAGGAGAAATTCAATTTTGAGACCAGAAATGACTATAAAGATCATCTAGCCCAGAGATCAGCAAACTATGGCCTGGCTCAGAGCCTGTTTTTATATAGCCTCCACTATGAATGGTTTTCATATTTTTAAAGGTTGTAAAAACACACAAAACCAAGTAGGAACACTCAACAGAAGCCCACAAAGCCGAAACCTTTACCATGGGGTCCTTTACAAAGGAAGTGTGCCAACCAGTGGTTGTGAACCTCTTTTCTGCCCAATACACCTGTGAACTCAGGGGCACTTACTCAGTAACAGCGGCTCACTAAAGCTTTAAAGATCACTCCTAATAAAGAATCATGGGTCTAACCCTACCTGCTCATATGCAGATAAAAGAATCAGAAGTAAATTATTTATGCCTCATTTTATTGATAGAAAATATGTTTAATAATAAATTGCCTTAACATGTGCTGAGATTTTCTGGGAACTCATTTTAACAGATAACAGTATAACCTTTAAAATCCCTATGAATACTGAATTTCTTCAGAATAGTATCACTGGATTTTTGCTTCTAGGTACAATGCAGCAATTCGCAAGAGACCATCGCTCTTACTCTAAAATCAAGAACAAGCCAGGCAGGCACACAACAAAATCACTGCTTTTTAAAAACCTATCAGAGAGCTGAGGACTAAAGAAACCAGATTAGCTAAATTCTAGAAAATGAAGAGTCTTTCCTAGGAAAGAAGAGACTTATGGTGGGAGAAGGAGCAAATGCCACAGATGTGACTAAGAAGAGTCCAGCCCAACTCCCAACCAACTTCTAACAGCCACGTGTGGCTGGGCCACAGGACGGGACAGGCAGACGACCCAGGGAGGGTCCCCCAGGGCGCTGCAGAGCTGGGTCCAGAGCAGCATTATGGACACAGATCACCCTGAGGCACCAAGAGTTAGCAGCGGGTTGCTGGCTGGGCAACAATGCATAAAAGATCTCTGCAGTTTCCAAACACCGCTTAAAACCTATGAAGACAGTGGAGAATAGAATCTAAGTCAAGCAAACAAACAAAACACAGCCCAGATTCAGCTAAACTACAAATGAAACTGACTCAGTCTCATCACACTAGTAGCCTGACAGAGTAAGCAGCATGCCTCTTTCTAAAGAGAAATAAGATTTACTTCCATCTCAACTGTTCTTAAATACAGCAAGTCCAACATACATATAAAAAATTATAGACACATGAAACAAGCAAACAAAAAGGGTCCATAATCAAGTGAAAAAAATAGTAGAAAACTCACATATATAAATGACCCAAATGTTGAAACTGACAGACAGGTATTTTAAAATAACTATGGGGCTTCCCTGGTAGCGCAGTGGTTAAGAAACTGCCTGCCAACGCAGGGGACATGGGTTCGAGCCCTGGTCCAGGAAGATCCCACATGCCGCGGAGCAACTAAGCCCGTGCGCCACAACTACTGAGCCTGCGCTCTAGAGCCCATGAGCCACAACTACTGAGCCCATGTGCCACAGCTACTGAAGCCCGTGTGCCTAGAGCCTGTGCTCCGCAACAAGCCACTGCAACGAGAAACCCGCACACCACGACAAGGAGTAGCTCCCGCTTGCCACGACCAGAGAAAGCCTGCACGCAGCAACAAAGACCCAACACAGCCAAAATAAATTAATTAATTTTTAAAAAATAACTATGATAAAAAGAATTTAGTTCAAAAGTTAGGTAACATGTGGATAGACTGGGGGGGTGTTATTTAAAACTAGTTTTTTTTCTTTTTTTCTTTTTTTCTTTTTTTTGTGGTATGTGGGCCTCTCACTGTTGTGGCCTCTCCCGTTGCGGAGCACAGGCTCCGGACGCACAGGCTCAGCGGCCATGGCTCACGGGCCCAGCCGCTCCGCAGCACGTGGGATCTTCCTGGACCGGGGCACGAACCCGTGTCCCCTGCATCGGCAGGCGGACTCTCAACCACTGCGCCACCAGGGAAGCCCAAAAGTATTTTTTTTTAAAAAAGATAAATTAAGTGAAAACACTAGAACTAAAAGAAATGCAGAGAATCCATTTAATGGTTTTAACAGCAGACTGGGCTCAAGAGAAGAAAAGCAATCAGTGAACTAGAAAGACAGAGCAAAGAAATTATCTAAACTAACACACAAAAAGAAAACAAAATGAATAAACCAGAGACCTCTAATAGTAAGCACTATAACATATATTTAATTGAATAATTAGCAGGAGAAGAGAGAGTGAAGCAGAACAAATATTTGAAAGGATGATGTCTGAGCACTTTCAAAAATTGATGAAAGAGATTAATCCACAGATCTAACAAACTCAGCAAACTCCATGGAGAATAAATACAAGGAAAACTATACATAAGAACCTAATAGTCAAACTGCTGAAAAATCAAACATAAAAAAAAGCAAAAAAAAAAGAGGTTGAACGAAAAGATCTACAAAATTCATACCAGCTTTTTTATATGTCATGTTTGAGCATGTCACCCAAATTGCTTGCTTCTTTACTCTTCTCTTCCACAGAAGATCCCTGTGCTAAAGGCATTTTCCTTCTTCGTTATATCCCCAAGTTCTCTTTCTCAGCGTGAGAGCGTGCTAAGCACAGCTTGAGAAGACCTGAGCTTGCTTTCTAGCCCTACCATTCCTTGCTGTGGTCACCAAAGAATTTAATTAACACTCTTGAATCTCAGTTTTCTGATGTGTAAAAATGGAACTGAGAATATCTATTATTACTATCTATCGTCATCTTCTTATTGTGAGAATCAAATAAAAACATCTTAAGTTATAATAATAAAAAAAAAAGCATCAAAATCAGCCAGGGGGAAGACAGAGAAATATTTCATAAACAATGCTTAGAAAAACCATTGACTTTTCTTCAGAAACAATGTAATACAGAAAACAATGTCATTAATATATTTAAACAACTAAATTTGTTTAGGTTTACGTAAACCTAAAATTCTATATCAATTTGTAAATTTCCATATCCATGGAAAATATCTTCCCAAAAATCAAGGTGAATAAAGATATTTTCAGATAAACAACTGCTGAGAGAATTCATCAGCAGAAGTTATTCACTATAAAATAAAAAGTTAAAGGAAGTTCTTCAAGCTGAAGGAACATAATACAAGATTGAAGTCAGGAACTGCAAAAAGAAATGAAAAATTCCATGGGTAAAAAGAAAAGAACTTTTTTTTTCTTTTGGGCTTGCAGGATCTTAGTTCCCCAACCAGGGACTGAACTCGGGGCCGCAGTAGTGAAAGCTCCAAGTCCTAACCACTGGACCACCAGGGAATTCCCAAAAAGAACTTTTTATTTTCTTTATTTTTTATGTACTTTTAAATCTCTTTTAAAAATCATTTTTAATTTAAGTAGTCAATGTGTTGTGAGGGTTATAACATATGTGTAAGTGATATATGATGACAAGAGACAGAAGGACTTAGATAAAAGCACGTGGTTATCACACGGTTTATAAAGTGATATAACATTTTGTTAAGTTCAACTGGTAAGTTAAAGATGCATATAGTAAAAGCAACACTAAAAATTACACACAGAAGAACAGCTAAACAGTCACTTAAGGTGAAATAAAATACCAAAAAGTACTCAACTCAAAAGAAGGCAGTAAAGAAGGAACAGGGAACAAAGAACAGATAAAACAAATAGAATACAAATAAGGCAAAAGTCTAAAACCCAAACCCCTGAATAATTAAATAGGTTAAATATTCACTGTGAAAGGAAGATACTATTTGACTAGATTAAAAAGGATGACTCAACTACATTTTGTATACAGAAGTCATACTTCACATACAAAAGTATGAACAGGTTTACTACAGTAAAAGGGTAAAAAAAACCACTATAAAAATGTTAAGAATTAAAAAGCTGGTATAGCTAGCGTAATATTAGACAAAGTAGACTCAAAGACAAAAATATTATTAGAGATAAAGAGGAATATTTCATGGTAATGAAAGACTGAATTTATCACCAAGTCCTAAAAATACTAAATAGGTATACTTAATTGAGAGAGCTTCAAAAAACATAAAGCAACTAAAGGAGATGAAGACAAATCCAGTATCATCACTAAAAATGAACACTCCTCTCAGTTATTGATAAAACAAATATACACAGACAGACACAAAGTAAGGATGTAAAGAATCTCGAAGATAAGGCCAACAGGCCCATGAAAAGATGCTCAACATCGCTGATTATTAGAGAAACGCAAATCAAAACTACAAGGAGGTATCACCTCACACCAGTCAGAATGGCCATTATGGAAAAGTCTATAAATAATAAATGCTGGAGAGGGTGTGGTGAAAAGGGAACCCTCCTGCACTGTTGGTGGGAATGTAAATCGGTACAACCACTACGGAGAACAGTATGGAGGTTCCTTAAAAACTAAAAATAGAGTTACCATATGATCCTGCAATCTGACTCCTGGACATATATCCAGAGAAAACTAATTCGGAAAGATACAAGCACCCCGATGTTCACTGCAGGGCTATTTATTGGGTTGGCCAAAAAGTTCGTTTGCGTTTTCCCGTAACATCTTGCAGAAAAACCCGAACTTGTTGGCCAACCCAATACAATAGCCAAGACATGGAAGCAACCTAAATGTCCATCGACAGGTGAGTGGATAAAGAAGATATGGGGTGTATGTGTATATATATAGCGAAATATTACTCAGCCATAGAAAAGAATGAAATAATGCCATCTGCAGCAACATGGATGGACCTAGAGATTATCATACTAAGTGAAATAAGCCAAACAAAGGAAAATAGATCACTTATATGTGGAATCTAAAAAAAAAAAGGAAAAGAAAAGAAAGATGCAAATGAACTTACTTTCAGAACAGAAACAGACCTACAGACATAGAAAACAAATTTATGGTTACCAAAGGGGAAAGGGATGGGAGGGATAAATTAGGAGTTTGGGATTAACATATACACACTAGTATATATAAAACAGATAACCAACAGGGACATACTAGATATTTTGCAATAACCTAGAAGGGAAAAGAATCTGAAAAAGAATATATATATGTATGTATAACTGAATTACTATGCTGTACATCTGAAACTAATACAACATTGTAAATCAACTACATATACTTCAATTTAAAAAAAACTTTTAAAGGAGAGTATCTTCATAAACTTGAGGAAGGTAAAGATTTCTTAGAATACAAAAAACACTATTCATTAAAAAAAAGAGATTAAATTTCCTGCTCATTAAAAACTACTACTAAGAAAAGAAATAGGCGAGCTGCAGTCTGAGAATACTGACATATATGTGACAAAGGACTTATATTCATTACATGTTAAAAAAAAGGAACTCCTAGAGCTCAACAATTAAACATCCCAATAACAAACAGGCAAAAGACTGGAAAGACTATCACAAAAAAGAAGATACATGAATGGCTAATGACCACATGAAAAGGTGGTCACTATCATCAGTCATGGGGAAATGCAAATGAAAACCACTATATATACCCATTAGAATGGCTAAAATCAAGAAGACCAACCATATCAAATGGTGAGGATGTCATGCAACTGCAACTCTCATACCTGTGGGGATGCAAAATGATAAAACTGTGGGAAACTGTTTGCTCTTTTCTTATGAAGGTAAACACACATACACCCTATGATCTGGTAATTCTACTTCTAAGTAGTGAACCCAGAGAAATGAAAATTTCAGTGTACAAAAGTTGATACAAGAATGTTCCCAGTAGCCTTATTCTTAATAGTCCTAAACTGGAAACAACCCAAACATCCACTGACAAGTAAATATAAATACAGTATTTCCATTCAATGAAATACTATGAAGCAATAAGATGGAGTAACTTCTGAGACACAATATGGATGAATCTCCAAAAACAATGTCTGTTAAGTGAAAGAAACAAAGTAATAAATACTATACAGATCCCATTTACATGAATTTTTCCTATGAATAGTCAAAACTAACCTATGATGACAGAAATCAGAAACTGAGGGTGAGATGACAGAAAAGGATATAAGAGGTGGTGGAAGTACTTACTCTATGCCTTGTTTTAGGTAGTGGATATATACTGTTGTATTTAAAAGTTAAAAAGTTAGAACACTTAAAATACTCATCTTACTGTATATAAATTATACTTCAACAAAACAGTATCGCTTGTACTCTTAATTCTTCATCCCCCTTCCCCACCAAAGGAAAAAAATAGATAGTAGGTATGGATTTCATTACTAGGAAGCTAAAATGGGCCCTTGAAACATAAAATGAGAAATTAAAAATAAAATCACTAAGGAAATAAAGCAAACAAATATACCCAATGATAGTGCATGCACACCTGTTTATACTTATGGTTAAAATCCCTAGTGCATTGTTGCAATGTAACCATTTGGTTATGGATTTGATTTTTTTGTTGCTGAAAATTTATTTCTATTCAAAGAGAAGTAATTATCTTACACTTTAAAAAATAAAGTTTCTTAAGTCAGCTGCTTAATTGCAGCTAAAAAAACCCTCAAATAATCTATGGTTAATTAATATGTATTAAATGTGGGTCAAGATACTCACTTTCAATTTTAAGGGAAAAGATTTAACTACTCTTTTCTGAAATGTCCCCCCTAAACAATTTAAAATAATTATACCTGAATTTTGGAGAAATGATAGGTTACAACTCATTGTGACTTAACTGTGGTTTTATAAGGCAGAGATTAGGGAAATGGAATGAGATGAATGTTTCATTTATAAAAAGGAAAAAAAACAGCAGCAGAAGAAGAAAAAAAAAACTTCAAAGTGGAAAAAGAAGTGGTAGCCTGTACTGCAGAGAGATAAAAACATAAAGAAGGCTTCACATCCTCCATGCTAATTAAAATCAACTGGTAGGAGCAACCTTGAATGCTGCAGAAGCTAAGGACTCCTAGGCTGTGTTTTGGTTCAATGGGAAAAGGGGCCATGACTGATAAAGCTATGTGGACAAAGGCAAAAGGATTCAGGATGTCTGCTTGGTATTTTCCATCCCTTCCTTATGGGGAGTAGGCATAATTTAGCTGCCAGATATTACAATGCCTGGAACTTCAGAGAATAAGGCAAAATGCAGTAAGTTACAAATCAGTTGTGAAAGGTAGTTATATATATATATAATTTTTCTTAATATTCTTTAAAAAAAGCCCATTTGATATTAATAGTTAAGACTCCATAGCTGAAGGTGAATTACAGCACATAAGCATCATCTTCAGTTCACTGGAAATGACACCCGGTGGCAGCATCGCTAAAACGCAAGGGCAAAATAAAAAGTGGAGCAAAAATAAAATCTAAGTGTTGAAAATGCAAAAACTACAATCACAAGGTGTCTGGTATATGTATCACATACAATCACAGATTTATAGATTATTTTCATCTTATACTAGAAACAAGCTAGATTACAAAACATATGATTATTTTCAGATATATAAAAGATGTAAATCAAGATGCAAAACTGTTATCATTTACTCTATTAAACTGACACAGTTTAGGTCTCTGAAAAAAGTTCTCAGATAAAAGAAAATTACTAAAACGTACCTAACGTGTTTAAAAACCTCACTTAAATTTTAAAGATTTTGGAGATGTGAAACTCCTGTTACCCAAGCTAGGAATCTGAAATCTATCAAAGGACCATTTAGTCAGTTCATATTCTTGTCACAAACTGCTTAAGTCAAGAATCCTTTTCTCTCATCTGAACTTAAAAAAAAAAAAAAAAAAGCCATTTACTGCAATTATGACTTCCAGTGTTCACAGCTGCAGTACTGTTAGCTGTGACTTCACTACGTACTCAAACTAGGAGAAACAAAGGTCAAACTTACTCATTCTACTGTGGAGACAAGGCATGGTGATCTGATCAGCTACCTCAGAAGGCAGACATACAGTTTCAAAATGAAGCCTTAAAGAGCACTAAGCAAACACTGGTCCATACAGATAGTTCAGGTCAAACTCTATAACCAACTTATGAAGAAAATATATACCTAAGTTATCAATGGAACTACTGTTAATAACTGAGTTCAGCAACACTGATTTCAAGTAAATACAAAATGCACTATATAAAGACAGCTCAGTAAAAGAAATAACAAAGGCTCAAAAAAATTATTTCCCTATTTTACCCGTTTTCCATCTTTGGTCTTCTTTAAGTTCCAAGTGCCATCTGGCAACTTCTCAAAGAACTTTCTTGCTTTTGGTGCTTGGTCAAGAATATGAGCAGGTGGAATACCCAGAACTTCCACTATTTTATTCATCTGATCTACCTGTATTAAAAATAAAAACAAAACACCTGTAATTTCTACTGTAGGACACCCTATCTGTGCTCATCCATCCATTCATTCATTCATAAATTAGAAATAAATAAATCGAGCATCTCCTGTGTGCTGGGCACTCCTCGGGGCAGTAAGCATAGAATAATGAACAAAAGAGATAAAGTCCCTGCCCTCCTTGAGCCCCACACTCCACAGAGGGGAGGGCACACAGTGAAGCAAACACATACCTCCATGGGATGGCAGGTGGTCATGGATACAATGGAGAGTAAGGAAATGACTGGAGGGAGTCTTAAAGTTTAAGTTTTGGGAGAATTTTAGTTAAATAATCACACACAGAGAAAAAAAAAAACCCAAAGGCTTAAAAGTGTGGGCCCAATAAAAGTATTTTTTTTAAGTGCAGATTAATTCACTCAAATACTGAGCGTCTACTATATGCTGGAAACCATGCCCACTAGAACACAGCAATAAACAAAACAAAAATCCCTGCCCCAAAGTTTGTGTTGTAGAGGAGGAGATCACCAAGAAGCAAATACATAATAAGCAAATACATACCAGGTGACCACTAAGAACCATGGAGAAAATTAAAAGGGGATGGAGAGTGAGAAGGGCACTGCAACTTAAAATAGGGTGTCACGAAAGGCTTCCCCGAGAAGGTGACGTGAGAGCAAAAACATGAAGGCCGCAAGGGCAGGAGCAAGAGCACTCCAGGCACTGAGCAAAGAATGAACGTAAGGGCCCTGGTACAAGCCTGTGGTTCGTTCGTAGGGACCTGAGAGAGCTGTGTGTGCTGGGCCGGGAGACGGTGGGGGCGGGGCGGGGCGGGGCGGGGCGGGGCAGGACAGCAGGGAGAGGTGGGGAGAGAACAGGAGACAGAGGGAGTAAGGGATTTTCAAGCTACTCAAAAGGGCTCTGGCTTTCACCATGAGTGAGATGGAAGCCACTGAAGTTTCAGATGCTCCTAATATTGTTTAAGCCCATGAAAAAGGTACTATTACCTTTATATTATTTATTATTAAAAGAAAACTAAAGACACACTTATGGCAGCTCCGCCAAAGAGTAGCTCACTGGCTAGAGTGAAGTGAATTAAAAGGAAGGAGGAAGGGACACGTTTCTGGCACTATTTATTGACAGTTGTATAACCCAGTTCAAGTCATGAAATTTCATTAGTCTTTCTTTTCTCACGTATAAATGAACGGACTGATCACGATCTGCAATGGTTAACTTTTCTTTAAAAAACAAAACACAACAGGATCCCACAAGCAAATAGTTTTAAAACCAATGAAAGCCCATTCCTCTGACTGTAAGGGAGCTTGGCCTCCCTCTCCCTTGCCCTCCCTCCTCCCAGGCACTGCCTCTGACCTTCAAAAATCTTCTAAGAACACAGAATAAACACCTGTGGACTCGCTCTGAAATTCTATAGTCCTAATTTACCCTGAATTATTCAGATCAAATATTCATCAACCCTACTAGTCATCATTCACTTTAATTTCAAATCATACTCTCAAAATTTACAGTCACGTTTACACTGTTTTTAGGGTGGTCCTCATTTCTTCATTATCATCTTTTTCTGTTCTTATTCTTAAAATCTGTAAAATTTATACCAAAATACTTAACATTTTCTAATCTAATTTATTGCTCTCCTCCACTGGCAGATTGAAAGATCTCGCTTCCCGTCTCACAATTCTAAACTCACCGTTACATAATTGAAAAAAAAATTTAAATGGATAAAATAAGTTCAAAACTGACCTAACACTTGAATGATTAAAGTTGGTAAATAGACATCTTTTCCTAAAAACAACTTTCAGATTATACTGTCAGAGACTGAAAACAAAAACAGAATTTTTAAAGCGATCCATCATATACCTCATTGGCTCCACTGAACAGAGGTTCTCCAGTGTGCATTTCAACCAAAATACACCCAAGGGACCACATGTCGATAGCAAGGTCATAAGGCATTCCCAGTAGCACCTCTGGAGACCGATAAAAGCGACTCTGAATATATTGGTATATCTGAAATATATTTCAAAATAGTATTAATTCCAAAACAAGTTTTGTTTAACTGTGGTCAACAATGAATTAAGAACACAAGTCTAATATTAACAGCAAAAAACAACTGGGTTATTAGAGTTCCATTTACTGATTTCAACATTAGATTATGAATACTGTTTAAAGAACTAAACGTTTCAAGGGAGTGGTAAATCTGACTGTGAAATGAAAAAAAAAAAAATATATATATATATATAAATAATTCAAGCCCTTTCATTTAGTTCAATCCTAACCGGTAACCAAGATATATCTTAAACAATTATGCCTTATTAGAAGAAAATATTATTGAGAACAATTTATCTCCCTATTAATTATTCTTTCCTGCTATGGCTGGTACTTGGTTTACCATTAATTTAACAGCTAAATTGTATCTAAATTAACCTGAAAGACTTTTTTCAGGTTAATTCAAAGCATTAAGAAAGACTCAAACTCAGTACAATGTAACTGAAATTTCAGACATCTGTACTGTACTAGTCTCACAGATAAATCTAGAAACACTGCCACATAAAGATTCAATTGGGAGTCGTTTCTGACTAATCACTTCTCTACCCTATCTCCTCCATCTCATTCTAAGACTTCTTAGAAAAAGAAATCTTGAAATGGATTATTTTCGATGAAGTAATCTGAGATGTCTTCAGAGACCAATTCATCTTCACCTGGCCATTTAAAATTTATGTCTGGAAATACTACAAAAGCAAAGATAGTTTTACTTAAAAAAGGGAGAGAAACAAACAAAATCCTCCTACCCAAACTCCCTAACTTAACACTCAAACAAGGCAGCCAGCAGCATGGAGCCACTTCTCACGAAAGCTTCTGTGACCTCCACAACTCCAGCCAAATCTGAGAACCATCCCATGCCTCCACTAGCAGGTCAGCTCAACCTTAAGGCCTGCTCAGAGTGAAGAAAGCCTAACTGAAAGGGACCAGGAAGAAGTATTACATTTCCAAGTTTTTGTAAGCCAATGGCATCGTGAAGCCCCAAAGACTCCCTACTACTGAGACTTACTTCCCAGCTTAGGAAAGGAAGTTTGTCACCTACCTATCCAGCTGCTTACAGCAGTAGTTGGGTCATCTACAAGCCTGTGTGTGCCAGGATCGTCTGAGAAACTTTTTTTGAAACATACTTGCCCTGCCACCTTCTAACACTGAGCCAGCAGACCTAGAATAGGGCCACTGCATGTCTGTTTTGGAAATGACTTCCCATGGGATTCTGATACACTCACATAGTTAAAAAACTCACTGAGCTAGAGGTATAGCTGTTTCACTTTGGCTGGAGAGAGACAGTAGTGCTTGATATCAGGGCGGCATATATGATTTGGTTTAAATAGGAAAAAATTTTACAAGTCTAAAATCTATTCAAATGACTCTCAAGATGGGCACATATTTTCCAGTTACAATATACTTGATCCCTATTAACAACTATGAGCATCTTTTGATTTTCAGAGGCATCCGAAACTGCAAACTTTGCTTCCTATCCCTTCCATTTTTAAAAAGTATTTCAATGTAGCATTGCTACCATAAGATAATTTTCAGAAAATAACAAAAAGACAATCTTGTTAACTGACCATAAACCTTCATGATTAAATTAACCTACTGTATTTAAAAGCTGGAATAAAGTTGGATAGGAAATTTCACTAATTTGGAAAAACAAGAAATGGAAAGCCAATATGAAATAGGAATATCTCCATGTTAGTTTTTACCTTTTTTTTTTTAAGAAATGCAGTTTCAATACTTACAAGTAAATAGGAACAACATTTTAAATGAATAAAGTATTATCAAATGGTGACCCTAGTTGGTTTCAAGAAGAGAACATCCTATAACTTCTATTTTATATGCAAAACACTGTTAGAGTAGCTTTCATAATGCTAGAAAGATCCGTAGGAAAAATTTGCTTTCCTAAAATCAGCTAAACCTAAATCTATTTACTGCTATGGACATGTCTGTTTTTAGCACTCTAAAGAAAACTAGTTCGGTGTCATAATTTATAAAACAAAAAAAAGATTTAAACTTATTTATCAAAACAATTATGTCTATCAACCTAGTAATTTACACTGTATCACTGTGTGTAATGTAAAATTACCTGCATTTTTTTTTACCCATCAGCTTTTGAGGAAAAACATTTATCTCGACCTATATTTAGAGAAATATTTTACAGCAAGGAGTCAATGTTCTATTATTGGAATTTCCCCAAATTTATACTAAGGACCTCTATTTGGGAAATATAGTTACAACAAATCACCTAATATGTAATATATCCATCCCCTCTTTTCTCTTAGACTTTTAGTATACACATAATTTTTTAAGTTAAACTTTAAAAAACTAATACCTTCTAATTCAAAGTTTACTATTGGCATTTTAAAAGGTATTTCCCAAAATAGGTATCAACACAAGGTGATTCAAGTGCTGCATTTTAAAGATAACCATCCTGTAATTACCTCCAAATTGTATACAGGTTAATAACATTTCAAGTATCTACTTACACTCTTTTAACCTATTCTAATTTTAATTCACAAGTCCTGAAATATACTTACCCTCTGCCCCAACTGACAAGAACTGCCAAAGTCAACAATCTTGATTGCACTGCGTTTGGGGTTACAAAGAAGGATATTCTCAGGTTTTAGGTCACAGTGAATGATACTAAGTTCTGGAGTCGCAAGGAAAAGCAGTGCAGTGCACATTTGCTGTGCAAACTTTCGTGTTAGGTTCAAAGAGACACCTCGAAAATTGGTGTTCCTCAACAAGTCATAGAGGTTGTAGGACAGCATTTCAAAAACTAAACAGAGGTGGTTTCGAAACATAAAGTGGCGTTTTAAATGCACTGAAAGAGAAAAAAGTTTCATTTTAAATTATACATACCAATAAAATGAGAACAACATGCACATGAACTCTCCAACAATCTGTAACATGACAATGTCAAATGCAGAGTGAAAATCAAGTTAAAATCTGGAGATCAGCATTCTGCACTAAACAGCACACTCTTTAATCAGTTAAGAATATCTAAATTGTTCATCTGCTGAATTAATATATTAGTGTATAGTGTCTGCCGATATGCAATATAATGCAAGAAGTACCACCAAAATGCCTTGCTTAAAAAAAAATTAAGTCAGGTATGAAAACGCAAGTAGCAAACTGACAAAGAGTACTGAGAATACTTTGATAATTTTATCGTCACTGGTAAGAGAAAACACGTTGTACTCCCTGAAAGCCCTACCTCACAACTTCATCTAAGCTCCATCCACTGGGATGTCCAGCTTGTGACGATGCTGTACTTGGCAGCCCTCTCTGGGAAGGCTTTGATACACATACACAATCTGCTTTGCTGAGCCTTAGATTTCACTAGTAATTTTCTGAAACAAGTGTCAAAGGAAGACAGATTTTTTTTTCTTTTGGGCAAATACAGCAAAGGCTCGAAAATCACACTGTAAGGTACTAGAGTTCATAATCAAGGCATCTGATTATGTTCATCAGACTGGTACATGGGACATCCTGTCCAAGACTGAAGGTTTAGGAAAACTTCAAAATAAAGCTCAATCACAAGAAATTGTGAGTAGGCTTATGAATGGGGAAAGTCTAATAGAATACATTACTTGGTATCACTCCTGATCCTCTAAAAAGGCTTAATAGTCGCCAAACTGCTTCGAAAAGTTGTGCTTTAAGTATTAACACTGACTTCACATCAGATGAAGTCATTCAATAAAGAACTGCCCTTCAGTATAAAAATTCTTACACACACCAAACTAAGCACCTATAACTCAACTGGAACGACATAAAACAACCATTTGTCAAGGCTACCTTCATTTTGGTCTTTTAGTATCATTTAAAACAGAGGTTTCTCTACAGATTTATCTGGAATAACTAGGACAGTATTCAATGTCTGGTCCCTGAGAAAGGGGATACATTGTGTTGTCCTGGTAGGAGCCCTGAACTGTCTCCCTGGAAGCAGTGCAAGTCAATATAGCTTTTAGATCATTCCTGATACACGTGATCTAAAATTAGGATAAATAACACAACTACTACATGGCTCTATAGGAGTCCATAGTACAACTCAACTCTCACCAACAGTTACATAAGAATGTATAACATCTGCTCTTAATCACTGAGTTCATAGGTTTAAAATTAAGAACACAGCTCCATGTGACATAAGACACCCCAGAGACATGGTCCAAACAAGAGTTCTGACCTGGTTAAGCAGCAGCCGCAAAAGGAATGCAAAAGGTAACTGATGTCAGAATTCAAACGTGATTATGACAATCCCTCTAAGAAGCTGTGATGAGAATGCTCTTCCAATGGAAGATCAATCCACTCAATTCCACTAATTCATCATTCATTTACTAAGTATCTGTAATGTGCTGAGCACTAAAGACACTGTCAAAGAAAGCTCAAACACAAGTATATACATTCAGTTTTTTTAAACTGAACTCTGGGGAGAACAGACAGTTGGCAAGACTTTGCTCTACACTTAAACTGAATGTTCTTTTAACTAGACCGTGGCAGGTACCAAATAATCCAGATAAGAAATTATGCTCTGTGGTAAAAAAAGTAAGAGTTTTTAGAAGTTCAAAGACTTAAAGACTATACAACTCATGAGACTAAATTATATTGATCAAATCACTTCAAAATTAAGTTATTTACGTTATAAAAGAGCAATACAACTTCCAGACACCTTAAATTTAATGTACCAACTCTACTGCCATGGCTGTGTCTAAATCTAAAGTTCTTTTTGCTTGTTTTCCAATATAGAAACTCAGTTTCTTAAGACACTGTGCATGAATTCACCTTCTTCCTAAATAAGAACCTTTAAAAACAAAAAAAACTCATCCAAAAGAATATCTGTAATAACTGATGCAACTAATGATCATTAAAGTCAGCTTATCAGAAACAAAAATGACAGCCATTATTATAACATAACCAAGTAGCTAACATTTCGTGTTTTCTTTCAACAAGGCAGAAATAAATGGTTGTAGTAATGCTATCAACATTTTCTCTACTACTTAAGCAAAAATTCAAAATAAAACAAGAGTGAGAAAGAAGAAAAAGGGAAGTATGTTTAGAGACTGTAAGTCAAGCATCCTTAGAATGTCCTTCTTGGCCTCCTAAGCCCCTTGAATGGAAATGTGCTCACCTTACACTAAGTTGTAACTGAAAGTAAACAGCAAACATGCAGTAAGTGTGAAAAGGCTTGAAATACAAATGTTATTACTGTGGGTTATATCAGATATCTACAGAGAAGGCACTAAGGAAGAAAAATTAATAGTATAAGCTCATTTTATTGCAACAATGAGGAATGAAGGGTGTTTCATAAATGAAATTTAATCTGAATATGTGAACCTTATACCTTTAAACATCAATTTTTTTGTTTCTGTTATTTTGGGGGGACTAAAGAACCATAATGCCCTCCCCTCATTTCTTTTTTTTTTTTAAATAAATTTATTTATTTTTGGCTGTGTTGGGTTCTTCGTTGCTGCGCGCCGGATTTTTCTCTAGTTGTGGAGAGGAGGGGCCACCCTTTGTTGCGATGCACGGGCTTCTCATCACCGTGGCTTCTCTTGCTGCGGAGCACGGGCCCTAGGCACACATGCTTCAGCAGTTGCAGCATGTGGGCTCACGAGCTGTGACTCACGGGCTCTAGAGCACAGGCTCAGTAGTTGTGGCGCACGGGCTTAGTTGCTCCACGGCATGTGGGATCTTCCCGGACCAGGGCTTGAACCCGGGTCCCCTGCATCGGCAGGCGGACTCTCAACCACTGTGCCATCAGGGAAGCCCTCTCCTCATTTCTTAAAAAGGAGTTTGCTAATAAAACTTAACCTCATATGTTTTTCAGGTAAAGTCAGCATTTCTGAAGGTGAGCTGCTAATACATGCCTATAAAAAGTCTGTAGTTAGTTGATCCTAAGGTCTCTATCTTGAAATTGACATCATGTTGTTTTTACAGTTGGCAGCAATTTGTTTCTTGGTGGCACATAAAATTATGGTGTCTTAGATCTGATTAAGAATAGTATTAAAGGGTGTATAATCAGAAGATGTTTTATCCATATATCAATTGGCCCTAGACTTAACTATTTTCATAACTCTTCTGTCTCCTCTTTTTGTATTCAGAAGAAACACCATACGACAATGAAATAAACACAAGCTCTGGAGTCAGGCAGAGGTAGGTTCAGACCCTAGCTCCAAGAGCCCTGGGACCTTGGGTATGCTACTCTTTGTACAAACTACCTGTAATATAAGGATTTACCACCTTCCTTTCAGGACTGCTATGATTACAGATGATGGAAGAAAACCACAAGGAATATGGTAGGAGTTCAAGAAATGTTGGCTATTATTTCTTGAGGGAGAACCTGAGATCTTGGCTCAGACATTCCAAAAATGGTTCTGTAACCATTAACAACATATTAGCTCACTTCTAATTTCTGAGCTATATTAGAAATGGTTAAAGTTAACACAAAGTGGACTCTCTATATAAACATGCACCATTAAAGCAAACAAATGACACTTGTAAGTTTGAAAAACAAAAAAAAACAACAACAAAAAACAAAAAGACACTATTCCTATTTGTTTTTATACTATATACCACCTAGAATGCATGTCGCCAAAGATGTAAAATATTACTGCCAGATCAAGTAACGTGTATAAACCTATGCCCTCCAACAGAAATCACTGAATTTTTACCCAATCACTTTAAGATAAAATCAACATATATTCATACAAAAATAACTCAAATTTGTGGTCTGGGTTAGGGCACACTGCTTTCTTTGCCTGTCTGTTTGTTTACCTATGTAGTATTTCATTTCAGTGTCATGTTTGTTCATGAGCTCAAGAAGTCGCACTTCTATCTGGGCTTGATTCAGAAAAGCCTTCTTGTTCTTTATTATTTTAATGGCGACCCATTCTTGCTCCACACGATCATACGCCTTTACAACCTAAAAGAGAAAAAAGACAGATGATATCTATTTCATTAATGAACAATTTAACAACAGTTTACAGTTCAACTTAATTGTACATTTATCTAATTCCCCTTTTTCTGACCTTCCTAATTAAAAGAGATCCTATTCGTTTCCATTCAACAGCATCCATTTACTACTTTATTGTCACTTTAAGTCATTTTTCAAATGGATTTCTTCTGCATCCTTACAGTATTTCTAAACATCCACAAAATAGCTAACTTTCTTAAAATCAGATTAACTATTTTCCTCCTTCAGAAATAAATTATGAATCTTGACAAGTGCTTTGGGGTTTTTTACCTTTCTTACTAAATAACATTATAAAACAATTCTTCTAACTATTCTTTTAGTAGGAGAAAAACCTGGTTTAAATCCGAAGCGTATGTGTGAGGTTCTAAGTCATCTGAAAAATGTAGATAACTTTCTAAATGTGACTTAGATTTTCACAGATAAAAACTTAGGCATATACCAGAAGAATTAGTTTACAGCTATTCAATTAAAAGAATATCAAAAACAAATAACCAGGAAAAAAGTTTAAAATGCCATAATTAGGGGATTTTGAGTTTTAAAATGAGAAGGAAACTGAAACATTCATGTGCAAATCACCATGCACACCTCTCATTTAAAATTTTACTCATTTAAAACAAGTTTCACACTATTAATAAATTTATACAAAAATTAGGAAATACACAGATAAAACTATATCTCTACAAATCAGAAACTGCTATAAGTGATTAAATATTATATTTATAATATTACAAATAGTCTGAATAGATAATAGTTTTAGATACATTTCCTAGCATATTCAGAAAGTACAGAGATGCAGGTAGAACTCCAAGTGATTCCAATGTGTTGGCTGAGTACCACTGGATTAGAGGAAGAGAATGGAACGCATGGTCCAAGATCACATCAGTCAAGGTTACTGTCATTCATACATCATAAATCGTTCAGCTGAAATCAAACTTGGAATGAAACGTGCAGTATCTCTGGTTTCACCCAATTCTAAAAAAATACTATCTATTGTCTTTTAAATCAGAGGCGACCCATGTAAACATCTGACCAAGTGCTTCTGATATTCTTCTGTTTCACTGACAATACTGACTGTACCAAGAGTTGCAGTTCAGTGCCCAGATCCTAACGGTCTCCGGGACAAAGGCCACTAACATGGACTCAACTATTTACTGACTTAGCAAATAGTTAACTTGCTCAATGCTAAAGCAGTGATTTGCAACCCTGAATATCACACATTCAGTAGGGTGTTTTCAAAAATACCCATGCCCAGAATCCAGTCACAGAGATTCTGATTTAATTGCTTGGAGCCTAAGTATCCATCCTCCCCTCCCCACCCCACCCCCAATCCCCAAAGCTCCCTGGAAACTTTCAAAGTGCAATCAGGATTGATGACCACTGGCTTAAGAAATGAAGGAGTTGCTTCTTTGACAAGGATCTGGCAGAGGATTTAGAGGATGTCTGACCAAGTCGGTAAGGAAGACTTTATCTGGTGAGTGACAGGTCCTGACCCTGAATACACCTCAGCCTAGGAGAAAGGCATCAGTCAGTCTGATCTGGTAAAATGGATTTTGATGTCAAATAGGCCTATGTTTTCTCACAGGTTTACTATGCTGACTTGCTCTTAGGAATCAGAGTATGAGAAAATTAAAGGGGAGGGGGAAAGATCACGGTGAGCTCAAAGACTGAGTATTTAAGGAAAACTAATTTTAGAGAACAGGCCGTACAGCCACAGTTTTCATGGTGGACATCACAGAAGTTTGAAAAGTGTCCTGTTGAGAGCAACTGCCTAAACGCTGGTGTAATTTTGAAGGTGGACATGACAATCACTCTATCCAGGGTGTTCACGGCCTTACTTAAAAGGTAGAGGCCTCAGAAATGCCTTTCCTTAAAAAGCTCTCAAAGAGAAGCAGAAGCTGCTTCTGACAAAAAGTAATCCTTTCTTAAAGAGGGACTCCCCACACACTGAGAATCCCCTGACTCAGGAGAAAAAGAGGTTACAAATCAAGGGGAAAGGCCCTGAATTACGTATAATTACAAAAATTCTGTGAAATCATGGACAGGAGCAAATGTATTATACATGGGACACCAGGGTCTGGTAGAGCCACACCAGAGTCAGGGGTCTTCTAAGAAGCTTGTTCATATTTCCCCATAGGTTTAATAGCTTGATCTCTCTGGGTCTAGAGCTGTAGCTGCTACTGGCCTGTAGTATACTTTTTGTCCTAAGCATGATTAGACTGACACATGATGAATTTTTCCTCACAGGTTGAAAAGAGGCATGCTTTGCTTTCACTCAGGGCAGGAACAGGTAAGTAAGAGTGTATGCAGGTTCCATAGTTTTAGACAAACCAAAAACAACCTCCAAAATCCAAAATATTGTCCAAGTCAAAAGAAGTATTTGGATTAGAAGTTATTATAGTAACTGACTTGCTGCACAAAAGCTACGAGGCAAAGGAGGCTGGGATTAACAGTAAATCATACCTCAAACAAAAAGGCTCTGTGACTTGATGAGACAAGATAGGGAGATTTACACATGGGAACAGCTGGGGGATCCACTGCCAGAGAAAAGCTTTTTAAAAGTGCAAGGAAGAAGGTCTGACAGCTCTTAGTCTGGGCACAGCTGATGTAAGAGGCTAATGTAGTTAGCGTTTGTGCTTTGTGTTGGGATAGGGTGGGCAAGTGAGGAGAAGAGAGCTGTGGGTGGAGAGAAGAGGCTAGGAACGAACAAAAAACCAGGTCCACTGGAGTTCCTCACTCACTCTTCTGGGTAGAAGCGGCCTGAACGACCCCACCCATTGGAACAATGCCAATCACAATATTAGCAACGCTGATGCCATGAGGACTTAAGAGGAGACCCTGGAGACCCTCTGCCCATTTAGAGGCCTGACGGAGCTAGAAGAGGAGCTGAGGAAAAACTTAGGGCACAGCCCCTGGTGTCTCAAGTCTCCAAAGAAGCGAGAGGACATGTGCTGTGCCAGCTGAAAATGGCAATTTTGTTCTCTGTGAGGAGGAGTATCCGACAGGAAGGTAATTATCTCTCTCATACATAACGACGAACCATCCAGAGACTAAAAACCCCACATGAAAGAGGCAATACTGTCTATTAGTGATTAAAATCAACCACTTAGTATTAGTAAAATAACTACTTGATAGCTATAGAAAGTTTTTTTTTAAAAAGCCTAATGGAGTTTTTATAGCTGATGCAGTTTTCTTACCTTTACAGAAAACTATAATAACCCAAATGCTTACATACCCGTTGTTTAGATCTATTTACAAATATTAAAAGTGTACTACTGAGAAAAGGCTATAGTAACATGATTCACTAAGAAGTTCTTTCTAATTTATGAAATTCAGCATCTTCCATTAAATTACCTGTCCAAAGGAACCTTTGCCTATCAAGGAGTCAATTTCGTAACGATCCATCCACTTTTCTCCGTTTTTTACAATATAATCATAGTTATCATCATCATAACCATCATTGTAAACCTTCCGCTCCTTCTTATGACTAGAATCGTCTCCCTGGCCCTGCTGGTGTCTTCGCTTCTTTTTTGCATAGTAAACCTGCAGTGAGAAAATAGTGTTAGCTGTGCAATGAAAAATTATTGGGGACGGGGAGCAGTGAGGGCACCATATGTCGAGTACATACAAGACACATCTGCTATCAGTAGGAAAGTGATGAATTTTTATTCTTTATAACACACACAAAAATGAAATAAATAATTTTCTATAGTTGCTACTGGAGTTACAGAATAACACTGATATGTAACAAATGAAAAATATCTACAGTAAAATTCACTTTAGAATTACACTGTTTATACATTTTTTAAATAGGAGATGTTACATGACCACGCCAAAGTCTCCCACTCAAGAAGAGTAACAGGACCTGATTCATATTTATTTTCTAAACTAACGTATAATTTATATACAGTGAGATGGTATAGATCTTAGAGAAATGCAAATCAAAACCACAATGCGGTATCACCTCCCACCATCATCAAAATGGCCATCATCAGAAAATCTACAAACAGCAAATGCTGGAGAGGGTGTGGAGAAAAGGGAACCCTCTTGCACCGCTGGTGGGAATGTAAACTGATACAGCCACTATGGAGGACAGTATGTAGGTTCCTTAAAAAACTAAAAATAGAACTACCATATGACCCAGCAATCCCACTACTGGGCATATACCCAGAGAAAACCATAATTCAAAACGACACATGCACCCCAATGTTCATTGCAGCACTCTTTGCAATAGTCAGGTCATGGAAGCAACCTAAATGCCCATCGACAGACAAATGGATAAAGATGACGTGGCACATATATACAATGGAATATTACTCAGCCATAAAAAGGAACGAAGTTGGGTCATTTGCAGGGACGTGGATGGACCTAGAGACTGTCACGCAGAGTGAAGAAAGTCAGAAAGAGAAAAACTAATACTGTATATTAACGCATATTTGTGGAACCTAGAAAAATGGTACAGATGAACCAGTTTGCAGGGCAGAAACAGACACAGATGTAGAGAACAAACGTATGGACACCAAGGGGGGAAAGCGGCGGGGGGTGGGGGTGGGGGTGGGGGGGGTGGGATTGGGCTACTGGGACTGACAATGTATACACTGATGTGTATAAAATGGATGACTAATAAGAACCTGCTGTATAAAATAAATAAATAAAATTCAAAAAACAAGAGTGTATAATATGAAGGACTTTGGGGAAAATGTATATGCCGATGTAATCAACATATGCTAAACGAAATAAAGAACATTTTCATCCTCCTTATATTCGAGTTCCCTCATGCCCCCTTCTAGTCAATCCCAATTTTATATTTGATCCTAGAGCAAAAGATTTTAAAAATGAAAGTTTAAATGTATAATATATGAACTGATGTTTTGCTAATATAAAAAGGGCCTCTGAGACATGCCTAGTTCTTAAGCCTGTAATAACATATTAATGAAAACCAGCCATGTCCCTCCCCCCCCGACTAAAGGCCGTAAACCTTGTGGTTGGTCACAGATTCAGTTATTTTCCTTCTATCTGTTTTTCTTATAAAATAGTTTCTAAGACTACTAAAAAATAACAGGTGGACTAGGCAACAGTCCAGGTAATTGGTAACTAACTTTCAGGAAATTATAAATTACACTGCACAGAGCAACATCAGAAAAACTAGTTTACAAGGTGGCAAAACAGTTAAAAACAAGCTTTAACAAAGCTACTGTTAACAGTTTAACAATTTATCAGATATTAACAAACTGACATTAATCAATTGTTAACAACAATTTATCAGATATTTTCAGATGACCAAAAGCTAGTTTGGAACATCTTTTATAACATATAAATTGTATACAAAATCCAACTTAGAAATGCTCCTCATCGAGTTCACTTCAATTTTATCCTGCCACATTGCCACAATAATATAGTACTGGCATTAAAGCAGCATCAAACTGCTATAAAATTTATACACACATAAGAACATCTTTTTAGTTAAATGGCTCTAAAGCTGGTAGAAGATAAGTCTTTAACGTGAAAGGATGTAAGGCCCCATTGGAAGAGGAAAGAAAGCACAGGGTGTCCACCCTTCTCCAAAAAAGCTCATTTAATAATTCATTACAGAGCTAGAGTTGGGATTAGAAGCAAGTAACAACCAAGCCAAAGGTCTAAGACACCAGAAAAATAAGTTTTGAAAGTCAAGTTGAAAGGTGAGTAATTCAAAGGGCTGTCCATGTTTTTTATCCTACTTACTTCCACCAAAAAGGCTTTCAGATATCTTACAATGAAAAAGATACAGATAAAAGAACACACATTAATTTAAAAAGAAAACTCTAAACCACATAAATATAGATAGATCAGACAGACTAGAGCAAATGCCTGTTAACTGGGCATTAAATACATCTCAGAGCTTCCTGACATCCATGGTAAAAGGAGAAACAGATACGTAAAAATTTAAGCAAAATTCTGTAACATTTTCATACTTTTATATTATTACCTTCCTTTCCCCTGAAGTTTTGGAGACGAGATTATTAAAAAATGACAACTCAGCATATATTAAATATAACTTTAAAAAGAGGGGAAGTTATCCACAATTATCTTAACTTTTTGCAGTCCTTGTTAATGTATCTTATTTGTTTTACACAATTATAATTTTATTATCTATAAATCACTAACTTACCAGTCTTCATGATAATCGTCAATATGACAATCCTTGGGAGTTAAAAATAATTTTAGTATGCTTAAATATGGTACAAAATAACTTTTTTCCCTTGCTCTATTGCAAAATAGATGCTGTTATAACAAATCAATAGTCTTACCTCATTAATATGCTTATATGTTTTGATCAAGTCAACAGAAAGTTTTCTCAGGGGAGCAGTAGCTGGATCACGGAAGGTTTGGGGCATCCGCCTCTGTAACATGACAATATCAGGCATCACCTTAAATAGACAGAAAAGACTAGCACTTTAACTATACTGTACTGGTATGAATTCCCTCTTCTGTAACCTGTGTATACGTATTTAAAAAAGAAAAAAAAAAAAAGACATCTACGTTAGAATAGTACATATGCTCTCTTGGTCATATCTCTTTCATCCGGAATCCACTGAAGACAACCACTGGAACAAATAAACGGAATTAGAAGATAATATGCCCAGTTACCAAGGCTTCAATTTTGTTCCCCAAATTCAACAAGAGGAATACAGATACACCCCTGGTCCTGGAGACATGCATGATGCTGCCCAAGAGGGCTTCTCCACCATACAATTAGCCTAAGGAAAAATTTCTTCTAAATTATTCCTAAAGCCTGACCTGGTTCACAACAGGCAGATGAAGACTAACCCACCTTTCAGCTTCCTAACACGGGAGTTTAAGACCCAGTTGGCACCACGAAGCAAGCTGCTCGTGGAGCAGAGATGGAGCTTGGTGCTGCAGAACTGCAGCTCCTAACAACCCCAGACCCTGCCCTCTGACCAGCACCTGTAGGCGAGGCTGAAATCTTCACTCACTTCTTTAACATGACTGAGTAAAACATGCCCTCCACCTTAACACATCCGACCTCACCCTCCACGTTCCCTGTGCCCCCAGCCAGCAGCACTTTTCAGCACCTGACGTACTGGTATACATTTACTCATTTACTGGTTTTAGTTTTTTCTCCTTCTCCTTCCACTACAAGGAAAACTCCATATGGGGCAGGGATTCTTTTCTTCAATGTTGTATTCCCTTTGCCTAAAACATAGCAGGCATAGTGCCTGAAACACAGTAGGTACTTAATAAGTATTAGTTGAATAAACAAGTGAAGCCATAATACCAATATCCCTACCTATGATTACACTAGGAGCTGACCACAAATAAGTTCCAGAGAACACCTTAAAGCTAATGAAACTTTCTTTTAAAAAACTCATTTCAACCATACTCCCACCCCAAAACTAACCCATGTCTCCTTCATCGTTCAATAAGCAGTCAGGGTTCAACTGTGAGCTTCCTGCTAGACGGGGGATAAAGCAGGAAACACAAACGTCCTCCAAACATAAATACGCCCAGGAATGCTGCAACTAGCACACTAATGATCCTGGATGGCTGCTCTCGCCCCACTCCTCAAGCCTCAGCAAAGGAGTTCCCAGAGGGGCTTCTTGCAACCAACAGATCCTCAAAACCAATTAATGACATCAAGGTACCTTCGGTCACTACGCTAGTCATCCTTGGGCTCCTGTCTAGCTCTCCTGCAGACATTTACACCAGCAAAACAACTGAGCCAGAAGCCCCTGATGCAGCCCCTTCCAAACGCACTGTGGTCAGTCAATCTGAGGGGCAGAGAGACAGAAAAGACATCATACTAAGGCCTCACAGAAATGTCTGAAGTCTTGGGAAAATTAACCAAGTTAACCCACAGTAACAAAAAAAGAAGACAGAAGGGTTGTAAGGACAGAACAGAAAAAAATCCCCATCCCTGTGGTATGAAAAGATGGTGTTACCTAGTTACAGTTAACCTAGCTGTACTCTCTCTCCCTCTCTTTGTTCTATGAAAGAAGTGGAAATTTGAGCCAAATTTGAGGATTATAACCTGGGAATAGCAACTCAGCTCCGAGAACTGTTGCGACCCTGCACTTGCTCTTAAACTGGTATTAACATTAGTTTCTTCTGAATCTATACTCGAACTCTAAAAAGTTGTTATCCGGATGGCAAATTCACTGAATTACTGAATTAAGTTAATAATTATTACCTCTTCCCATGATCCTCTCCTTCTTAAAGTTCCAAATAAGGTTTAAGGGAAAAAAAACCTTCAATGATTATAACTATTTGTCTGAAAATATAGTAAGACTTAATAATATCACCTGAATTAATTTATTAAATATATATAGTTTTATTTTTCTAAATATGAACAGGTACAGTTAGGTTCACAGAATATTTGGTTCTTATACCTGTCCTTGGAGACTTAATTTAATGAATAGACAATATCAGTAATAAGCATGTCAAATACTTTTATGTGAATGAATGCTATAAGCATTTAAGGTAATGAAAGAGGTTTCTCTTAATGTATTTCCTTTTTTTATTTTTTAAGACCCTGACCGTTTTCAAGCAGGTAACGTACTTGGCAAGACCATTCTTGGACTATTGGAGTGTAGCCTCACTGTGAGGTTTCACGAAATCTGAACCAGTGAAATACTTGTTTACCTTTGCCACAAGAGTTGATAGAAGGTATAACTACTGCTAGAAACAACTGAATTACTTAAGTAGTTAATAATAAAATAATAATTATAGCAGCAAATATTTGCTATACACTATGCTTTGAGTATGCAGATTTTTACTCTCTCATGTAATCCTCTCAACAATCTCATGAGAATAAGTAACCTAAGTTCCTGTCACTATTTTACAAATGAGAAATCTGAGTCTCTGATGTCAAGTTACTTGACCAAGGTCTTAGAGCCAGTAAATAACAGAGATGAGAACTGAGGCAGTCTCCCACCTAAGCCTATGATCTGAACCACAGCACTGGGCCAGGAGCTCCCTGTTAATTTTAGGTCTCTCGTCTATCCTCTTGTTGAATCATTTTTAGGCTATTTGTTGGACAAAATAATTGAGTCATGCATAATAAACACCAATAAAATAAACATATGCATTTATTACAATTAATTATGTTCAAAACTGTAAATATGCTTTTTTAACTTGCCCACTTACAATTCCACTGGTATTTCAAACATTGGAAAAAATGTGACTAGTGCCTACATCTTTCCATGAGTAATTATGCTCGCTTAAAACACCAAAATCCCACAATCAAAAAAAAAAAATTAAATGTACACAGGACATGCATGAAATTGGATATGAATGTAACTTTGCCTAACAATCTTTTTCTGCACTCAATATATGAGTGTGTGCTATGGCCTTGGCATGTCACACAATATTGCTAACCTCTTCCACAATTAGCCAAGCTACCTAAAAGGCCAAATCAATTAGCTAATTCTAAATACATTACTTTTCTTATATTCTTCTGGCAACAGAAGTTACTATTTCAGGGGTATCTGTATATATAAACCAGATGAATTCCACCCACAAAAAACTGGCCTTTAGATCAGGCTGTATTTCAGTGCTTCAAATAGTGCCTTGTGCAGGCTAGGCACTCAAAATATATAGAAAGAACAAATTAATTTCGACAAACTAAACAACTCTTCCTTCACAAACTTTCATTGTGATTTCATGTTAGGCAACCAAACTTTCTGTTTTTCATTATTGTGGTGCCATAAGCACCAATCCAGAATTAGAAAATTAACTTGTCCAAATACACACTCAGTGACAAATCTATATACTAAGACTCAAGCCAGCCCTAAGCATTTGACACTTTGTCCACTTCCAACTTCTTATGGTCACACAGTCAGGAGAATGTAACATAGCAAGCTCCCTCCTTCCCTTCCGCAGCCGGGCAGAAGTCCCACAGCGTTCAGAGGACCCAGGGGCTCCCTGAGCCACTGCAGGTAGCCAGTGCCACCACGGCCTCCACACCGCCCCCAACGCCCTCGCTGAAAAGGCAAAGTTGTTGAGCTATTCTCCTGCCACCTCAGCCTTAAGGCTCCGGGAGCCAAAAAAAGTCACATCCCCAACGCTCCTATCTCTTGACCTTTCTGTGTGATGATGACACAGGTCACAAAGCCAAAAAAAAAAAGGCAGTAGTTCACACCTCCTGCTTAGAGAAGTTACAAGAGCTAAAACAATCTTTTTTTCTTGAAAAGATTCCATAGTGTTAAGTACCAGGACTTTATTTAAAAATTGTTTTCTAGTTTAATAATACCTATTCCACCCATTTTATTTATGTTTACCTCATATTTTCATATATACAGTGGAGAATGAGAAACACCATGTCCTGCCATTCTTGCTATTTTGAGAGCTATTAATAAAGTTGAATAGCATATGTAACACATATCCAGAGTACATAGCTTAAGAACCATGAAAGGTACTGTGAAAACTGTTAACAGCCCAGAGAGACTCAGCATTCTGAACATCAATCATACTTTTCTACATTTACTTTTACTTCATTTATCTTTTGAACAAAACTGTATTTAAACTCACATGAAACACGCTCACACAAGAAAGATTAACTACCAGAAATAAAACGTTATCTCCTTTCAATTTACTTGTACAATAAACCTTACTTAAAAGGCACTGGATAGGATGATTATGGAAACTGAATAATGAAATTACAGAAGTTTAGAGCTAGAGAGTGCTCTTCTGGAGGGTCTAGTCTAAGGTCTCAATCTTACATTCAAGGAACAGAGAGAAGGGTCCATGTGACCTAAACTCAAGTCACACAACCAGATCATGAGTCAAGACCTGGAGCCCATGTCTTATGACCGGCAGACCACGCCACATCAGTGCACAGTTTCAGTGCTTCACACTTCAGTTATAAGTAAGCTTTTAATCTGACTGCCTTATTAAGGTTCCAAAATTTCTGGAGTTTGGCAGAAGTATCTGGCTGAATACTATTACTTAAAAGACAGTCTTTTTACATCATATGAATCTTTTAAAATATTTTACAGCTTACAATGGAAATACTAAGTAATTTATCTCTTATTTGAAAATAACCCTCAAATAAGATGTTAGCTGTATCTAAAAATAGGTTACTTTGTTAACTAAATTACCTACTACAATAATACAAACATAAAATAACTTGAAAGGACTGGATTTTTTTCCTAGCCCTCCTTAGATGCCAGGTGTTACAACTGAAAAAGCACTGTATCTAAGAAGAAAGAAGCCTGGGCTGGGCCCCAGAGTCTACTGCCTACATACTTAGAGAAGTCACAAATGGGAGCTCAATCCCTTCAGCTGTAAAAACAGACTAAAAACAGACACCCTACCTGATAGGCTGCTTTTGAACAAGCGGGAAAATGAATCCAAACATACTTTGTTTCTTAAAAGTACAGTGCAAAGACTGTGCTATTACTACTTTTTGGATGTCCAGAGAATTTTCTTCTGGTACACAATTAAACACTTTCCAGTTCTGACCAACTGCTCCAATTCTCAAACATACAACTTCTCCATTTACTGCATAAAACAAATTCTTATGTCCTGTCATAATTTATCTTACTATTTAACTGTGAATGTTATTCACATGCTATATAATTTTATAAATGTAAAGTCAGTTCAACTATTCACAAGATCTTATTACAACACATACAAGGGTGTCCTCAAATAATGATGTTACTTAACTGTAGCCAATAGCTCATTAAAACCAGGTATTATTGAATTAGAGAAAACACATTTCCTTCAAATAATCCAGTGTAAGAAATACTTTGAAATTTTCTGTTTTTGTTCATATTGAAAGACCTAAACAGTGACAAACCAAATTCCTGAGTACATGGGAAAACAGCCATTTTCAGCACTCATCACACACAGTCTCAGTGGAGAAAGAAACTTTACCACAACTACAGCTAGTAAACAAAACTCCCGAAATCAAAAATCAACATGGTGGACGCAGTTAATTCAGGAAGATATTAAAAATACACACATACACACATGCATATGTGTATGTAGATCAAGAGCTTTCAGCATTTATTCACTTTACACTATCCGTCTTATGGAAAATTGCTGAATCTCTAGTCTGAATATTAGAATGAGCAGCATGATTAATTTACATTTTTTTCTTTTTAATTTTAAGGAGTTTCATATTTATTTTTATAAATGTGTACTAAAGTAGTTTATAACAGTGTAAAATCACCTCTTTAAGTTTCCTATAATGGAATCCGACTTGTTTTCCTATAACTTATATTTTTCTACTTAACCGCCTTCCCATAAAAATAAGGTTTAAGTTTTTTTATTTTAACTAATATTCTTTAGAAGTAACTTTTCCCCCATCGCAGAATGAGAGAATGTGGTTATGTTTATAAGTGTTTTTCTAATTAAAGTGAAATACATAGAAAAAAACCAAAAAAACCAACAAACTTTTAAACGCAAACTCCTTAATATCATATTCTGTCAACCCGGAATCCCATGTGACATGTAAACTGAAAACCATTAAGGCATTCTGCCTATTTACTATTTTACCATTTTAATGAATAAATTACCATCCCAACAAATCATTTCTGATATGTCATAAACTTACCTGGTTAGTTAGAGGCTGCTGAATCTGGTCAGAATAAGATAAGGCAGAAACCTGTTGGTCACTTATGTTTGGCTGGCGACGGTCACTGTACTGATGTGAATGGGGCATCTGTCCAGCCATCTGAAGGCCAGCAGCATGGAATGAAAATGACGGTGCAAGCCGAACAGATGAAGGTTTGCATGCTGAAGTCTCTCCTCCTACGAGAAGATAATAAGTGAGGTTTAAAGGATGCATTCATATCCCAATGTTTGTATCTTCTGACTTATCTGATAGTTCTTTAAATAAGGACTTTAGGATGTTCAATAATATTAAAAACCTTTAAAACTGCAAACACTCAACACAACTGTTGTACAATAAACAGTATAAAATATAATAGTGATTTAAATGAATATCTACAAGTCTGTTTTAAGAGAAAATCTTAAGTAAATCTTTTTGTAAAGCAATGGAAACAACCTTTCATACTTATTTTTACATGAGATTTGCATCAATTGAGAACCACAAGTTGCAAAAGTAATCTCTGAATTCCTGCAAAGGGCCTGTCCAATGGATCAGCTCTTCAAAAATCAATTCAAAGGAAAACTGCCAAGATGCCGCTTTGTCAGGTGTATGGGAATCAACAGCCCTAGCATCCCCCAAACCAGGTGAAAAATGTGTCCTAATGGTGCTCACCACTGACACAGGTAATTAAAAGTTGAGCGCACAATCCATGGAAACAAATTCACAGGCTGCTGTATTCCTCTGGACTCTTCTGACACAGTCCTAAGAGAGCCTAGACCAGGCAAGCTTGCCACAAAAACGAACAATCAATTATTATCCCACAGGTAGGCTGGGACCATGGTCATGATTTTCATAGTAGAAATGGAAAATTAACATTTTGGTCCTAAAAGTATTTGGTAGCTAGCTAATAAAAGTTAATTTTTCTTTAGGAAAAGAAAAAGACTTTTCTTCTTATATTCAACCAAATCTGCAAATTTGCAATCACAGACTAAAGCCAGAAAACAAAGCACAAAACCCTGGCCAACCAACACTGGCCCAGAATACATGTGCCCGTCTGGGTAAACCAGCAAACTCTCACCACACAACACACTACACTGTTCAGCACCAGAGTAATTTTTCTAAAGTCAGCTTGTTTTGAAACACACAACGGCGCTGGCCCCAAAGTGAAGACCACAGATTCTTAGCCAGGCTGCTGTAGTTTGAAATTTCAGCTTCACGCTTACCAGCTGTGTGGCCTTGCACACCTAATTTCCTGATAATGATAATAATATCTACCTCAAACAGCTGTGGTGAAGGTTAAGGGCTCTAATACATGTAAAGTACTCAGAACGGCTCCGGCAATTAGTAGATGGCTTAATATCAACTGCAATTACTGTACTGTAATGCACGGTACAGTAGATGGGGAAGGAAGATGGGGCGAGTACCCTTCTTCTGGAGCATACAATCTCTACCTGAATGTTGCACAGATTCTGCAAACTAAAGAGAACAAAGTTCAATTCCCCCCCAAAAATATAAGTTCCACTTCTCTATCCTACACAGCAAACGCCACTACGCCACTGTCTTCTACCCAGTCAACCAGAATTAAAGCTCTGAGAGTCACGTTCGAGTTCGTTTCCTCCACAGACGGCCTTGTGCAAATGGAAGCCCAATCTCACTGATTCTACTTCCCATAGAACGCTCAGTCTCCTCTTTTCATTTCCATTACCCCATGCCTCACTTAGATGACTAAAATAGATTCCTAATAGATCTCTCTCTCTTTACTTTGCCCATGTGCAACTCCGCATTTCTTCAATAAGATGGCTAGAGTGACCTTTCTAAGGCGCAAATCTCAAGTCTTCACCCCCTACTTAGCGTTGTTTTTAGACCTTAGCTTCTATCTCCCTCCATTACAGCGTGCGGTCCTTTATGACCCAGAGTATATGATGCATAAATATCCGCTGGATAAGTACAATGTCCCTACGATGACAGATGGGATAACTTCTCTAAACATTTCATTATTCATAATTTAAAAATACATTCAGTTAATCCAATTCCATAGAGCGACTCTGTTCAGTGAAAAAAAAAATTTATCCTAAGGAAATAATAGATGATGTGCACAAAAATAGTAAGGGAAGAATGTTTATTTTGGTATTGTTTACAACAGCAAAAAATTGGAAACCTAACTGTCAAATAACTGTGTGTGTGTGTGTGTGTGTGTGTGTTAAATCTGCATGTTAAAAACACAAAAGACTGGGAAAGAATATAAATATAAATGTATATGAAAAGAATTGGGGTCCTTGATCTATAAATAACTCTTATAAATAAATAGTAAAAAGACTAAGGCTCTGAATGGCAAACGACTTAACCATTCTGGGTCCTAGTTTCCCTACCTATAGCAGAGGTATTATTACACTAACCCTGTTCCTTTCGGATTGTTATAAAGTTTAAACGAGATACCACAAGTTGACATGCAGAATAGAACCTGGTACATAACATGCACTTTTTTAAAAATACAAGCTTCTGTTTCTATCATCAGTGTCATTATTACATATTGTGTTTAAACTTATTTGTTATAATACATAGAAAAAAGTCATTAGTATATAGCTTAATTATCATCAATTGAACCTGTGGGACAAGAAAAATAAAACTTGCCATCATTCCAGAAACCCCGCACCACTACTCTACGGCGCCTCCCAATCAATACCTAACTCCCTCACCCCTAAAAGTCACTAGTATCTTGACCTCCAAAAACAGATTAGTTTTAACTTTATATAAATGAATTTGTTTGCTTAATGTTAGGCTTATGAACTGTAGCTTGTTCATTATCATTACTTTATCCACCCTACTTTTGATTGGCATGGGATTATTTCCAGTTCAGAGCTATTACGCATACTGCACTAGGAAGATTCTTAAGTGATTTTCGGTATATACAGAGATGCTGTTCTGTTGGTTTTTTTCCAGTTTTTTGTTTAATCAACCTACTTCTTCCCTAGTAGTTTATGAAAATTCCCTGTGCTCCATTCCTTCGCTGACACTTGGAACCATCAGTATTTCTAATTTCAGCCACTGCAGTAGGTGTGTACTCCACTGTGATTTTAATGTTTATTTTCCTCGTGACTATGAGCATCTTTTCATTTATCAGCCACTTGGGTATCCACTTAGGTGAAATGCCCATTCAGATTGTTTTTCAATTTTTCTATCAAGAGAGTCAAAAAAAATTAGATTTTTTAACATATTTTGGATATAAGCCCCTTATTGGTTATAGATGGTTTACACTGTTACTCTCTTAATGGTATTTCTTAAATTAACTAATTTATTTTATTTATTTTTTGGCTGTGTTGGGTCTTTGTTGCTGTGCACGGGCTTTCTCTAGTTGCAGCAAGCGGGGGCTACTCTTCATTGCGGTGCACGGGCTTCTCATTGCAGTGGCTCCTCTTGTTGCAGAGCATGGGCTTCAGCAGTTGTGGCTCACGGGCTCAGTAGTTGTGGCTCGTGGGCTTAGTTGCTCTGCAGCATGTGGGATCTTCCCGGACCAGGGCTCAAACCCGTGTCCTCTGCATTGGCAGGTGGATTCTTAACCACTGCACCAACAGGGAAGTCCCTTAATGGTATTTTTTGATGAACACAATCTCTTAATGTTACCAACTTTTGGTTTAAAATTAGTACTTTTGGTGTCTGTTTAAGAAATCTTTCCTTTATACCAAAGTCATGAAGAAATTCTATGTTATCTTCCAGAAGTTGGGTTTTACCATTCACATCTAAAGGTGGGCAGTGCTCTTGGATCTGATTTCTGTGTTTCCGATAGCAATCAAGTTTCATTTCCCCCCAAAATGGACATCCAGTTAACCCAGAACCAATTATTAAAAGGAAAGTTTCCCCAATGCCCTGTAATGTCAACTTTATCAAAAATCACATACTCATACATACTTGGATCTGTTTTCGGATTCTTTATTCTCTTATGCTGGATAAAGACTTACCTAGATTTCTTACATCTTTGTGTAAGAACCAAATATTGTCTAAATTATGAGAGCTTCAGAAGTTGTAATATGTAGTAAAGAATTTTTTTCTTCTACAAGAATGTTTTGGCTATTCTTAGCCCTCTTTGTGTCTATGTTTTAGAATTAGCTCATCAAATTCACCAAGACAAATAAACGCATGCTGGGATTTTGGTTGAAACTGCATTGTCTGGAACAGCGCTGTCCAACAGAAAGTTCTGCAATGATGGATTTATCTGCACTGTCTAGTAAGTAGCTACTAGCACAACTGGGCACTTGAACAGTCTGCTTTTTCCCCCTTCCCAATCTTTATTCTTCACTTTGCCTTATTCTACTTGCTGCCACCTTCAGTACAGCGGTGATTAGAGGAGGAGGTACAGGTTCTGCTGTTTCACACCCAATCTCAGAAGGAAAGCTTTCTGTATTTCTCCAGTATTGTGGTTGCTCTAGGTATTTAACTGATAACCACTACCAGGTTAACGAAGTTCCCTTCTAGCCCCAGTGTGCTAAAACCTTTTTCTCATGAACTGGTGCTGAATTTTATTAAATGCTTTTTCTGAACTCCACTGAAATGACATGCGTTTCCTTATTTATTTAGTTAACGTGGTGAAATACACTGATTGGTTTATGAATGTTAAATCAACTGCGGCATTCCTGGAATACAATTTGGTCATGATTATCCTTTTGTAGTAAATTCACTGGTGACATCATCTGGACGTGCAGCTTTCCCTGTGGGTAGGTTTTTCAATTAAATTTCTTAAATATGACTATTCAGATTTTACATTTTCTGGTATGTCTATTTTGGTAGGCTATATGTTTCCAATACTATGTTTACTTTGTCTAAATTTCAAATGCATCGTTACCAACTTCTTCATAATACCCTCTCTTATAAGCTTTTCAATCAATGTAGACATAACTGTAGTGACAGCCCCTTCACCCAAGATTGGTTAAAAAGTCCTTCTCTTTTCTTCTTTGTGATCAGTCTAATCAAAGGTTTATTAATTTTATTAAGTATTCCTCTTTTACTTGTATTTTCTATTTCTGTACTTATCTTACTCCATCGGTTAGCCAGAGAGGTATATTAAAAATCTCCCATTTGGGTCATGTACTGCATTACATAAATTGAAAGTTTTTATACCTTCCTGATGAATAAGACCTTTTATCATTAAAAACTGCCCCTGTTTGTTTCCAATAATGCTTTTCACCTTGTCTGACATTAGCATGAC